ACACCTGAATGCAGCCTACCACAAAAATTTTGAATTTAGAACTGGAAAACGGGAAAAACATCGCCTTGAAGTGCTGGACGGCTGGCTGAGAGGAGGCTCTACCATCCGGGAAGGAGAGAGAAGGCACGCTGAACCTCGAGAACTGTAAGGGTGCAGAGATCTGTGCACAAGAAAAGGCAGCCACCCGTGTTCGCTGCTGGCTTACTTGTGGCGCCCAGAGAGGGCGGACAGCTAATGCAGCTGGCTTTTGTTTGGGAGGAAAACAAAACCACCCTATTTCTCTGATGGATGGCCCCAGTCAGGGAGAGGCCAGACTGCCGAGCAGTGGGCAGAGATCTTTTGGAGGTGTGTGAAGCCAGCGGCCATTACTGCAGGACTCAGGGAAAGACCAAGGAGAAACCAAAGCTTGTCTGCACCACCCTGAGACTCCGCCCCATCCAAGCAGAGCACGAAAACCCTCCAGGAGGCTGGCTTTCTCGTTTACCGCAAATTGGACTCTCCTGAGGAGGGACGAATCCAAAGCTTGTCTGCACCACCCTGAGACTCCGCCCCACCAAGCAGAGTACAGAAGTCCTCCTAGCTGAGACACTGCTGATCTTCACAGCCAATTTGCTTGGAGATCAACGCTTCCCAGTGATACCAACAACAAGCAAGGCTTAACAACAAGACTGCACACACAGCCCACAAAGGGCTATACCAAACTGTCCATCACAGGTAACTGAGAAGGCTGTGCTACTGGGCTCTACCAGAACACCTAGCACACAAAACTATTCCATCAAATCAAGGAAGAAGCTAAAATGCAGAGGAGAGGCAGGACACAAAGGAAGGAGATGGCGGGGGGTGGGGGGAAGAAGAAGAAAAAAAGAAAAAAGAATGGACATTGAGTTCAAAACTACAGTTATAAGGTTTTTCAATAATTTCGTTAAAAAGGCCAATAAAATAAACGAGATCTATGAGGATATGAAAAGGGATCAACTAGAAATAAAAAGGGATCAACTAGAAATAAAGAAAACATTGTCTGAAATAAAAAATATTACACAGAGTCCTAAAAACAGACTGGCAAGAATCAAGACAAAGATTTGTAACACAAAGAGCCAGAGGACACTCCTCCACAGAAGCAAGAAGATAAGAGAATCCAGAAAGTTGAGGATAGTGTAAGAAACCTCTGGGACAATTTTAAGCGAACCAACATCAGAATTATGGGGATTCCAGAAGAAGAGAGAGAGCAAGATACTGAAAGAATACTGGAAGAAATAGTAACAGAAAACTTCCCCCACCTGGTGAAAGAAATAAACTTGTAAGTACAGGAAGCACACAGAACCCCAAACAAAAGGAATCCAAAGAGGACCACACCAAGACACATCATAATTAAAATTCCAAGAGCAAAAGACAGAGAATATTAAAAGCAGCAGGAGAAAAGCAGGTAGTTACTATAAAGGAGCGCCCATATGATTGTCAGCTGATTTCTCAACAGAAACCATGCAGGCCAGATGGGAATGGCAAGAAATATTCAAGGTGATGAATAGCAAGAACCTACAGCCAAAAATATTCTACCCAGCAAAGCTATCACTCAGAATCGAAGGCCAGATAAAGAGCTTCACAAATAAAAAAAGCTAAAGGAGTTCATCACCGCCAAATTATATGAATTGCTAAAGGGGGTTCTTTAGGAAGAAGAAGATAAAGATAAAAATTATGAACAACAAATATGTAACTATCAACAAGTGAAACTAAAAGCCAAGGGAATTAAAAAATCTGATGAACAATATTAACTGGTGAATATAATAGAATCAGAGGTATGGAAGGGGAGTGGACTGATGATTCTCAGGGAAAAGGGGAGAGGGGGGTGCGGGAAGAGACTGAACATAAACTGAACACCTATGGATGAGGACAATGTGGGGTGGGGAAAGGGCAGAGGGTGGGTTGGGAACTTGGTGGAGGGGAGCAATGGAGGGGGGGGAAGAGGAACATTTGTAATAATCTGAAAAATAAAGATTTATTTAAAATTAAAAAAAGACATTGTCATCTCCTGTGGGTGGCTCCGAGGACATCTAACACCGCCCTCTACCCAAATTTTAAAGGACACCGTATGTCCTACTGTCCGAGGGAGCCGGCGATGGTTAGGGTCCCAGAGCTGGCAAGGCACGGGGCAGCAGGCCTTTGCTTAGCTTGGTGTCCTTGGCAAAGTGGGCTTGTTGTCGGCTTTGATGGAGGCTCTGGAAGATCCTCAACAGCCTAGCACACAGTAGGTGCTCAGAAAATGACTCTGGATCCAACGGAACCTCGGAGACCTGAGTTACAGGCTGATCATTTCAGCGCCGTTCAGGGCACGGCTGCGGCGGCACCACATCCCCGCAGCACGGAGCCTGCCCATCTCCAAGGCCTTGCAGGCAGGTCTTCACGTTTTCTCTGCGAAGTCCTCTGCTGGCCAGGTGCTCTCCTCGCAGGGGGGACTCCAGGACCCCAACCACTGGCATCCTGCAGCCCCGGGGCAGCCAGAGGATGGTGGTGCTCCACGCTCACACCAGCAACTGCCACCAGGGGGCTGCAGAACAGCGAAGGGCAAGGGGTCTTGCAGCATCCGGCGAGGCACTAGCACTGCCAGGACACCTGTGAGCCAGACTGGCGAGCAGAGCCTGGGGGGGAGGAGGGTCCTGGTTCTGAGTCCTCAGGGCCTGTTGCCCTGGGTCTTTCATGCCACTGACCTGCCATGCTGGGGACGCCCCTCTGGTTTGGTCCTGAGACCCTGAGAGGGGACTGCATACAGGATGGGTCCAAGATGCCTGAAAGGTTTCTCCTGGCCTGACTGCTCACCCTCACGCCCAGCCCTCAGGAAGCCCTGGGGAAGGCCCAGGGGCAGGGATGGCCTGGGGGCCTTCATGCGGAGCTTGCCTGGCAGTCTCCCCTTTCGGTGGGACCACGACCAGGGAGGAAGGAGTTGGAGCTGGGCCCATGGGCCATGCTGGAAGCACATTCATCCCTCCCTCCCAGCTCACTGTCCCGGGCTCTCAGCCCGGATTGAGAGAAAACCTGGGCCCCTTGCCACCCCTGCCACAAGCTCACCCAGACATGTGAGTCTCAGGTGTGTGCAGACACCCGATCACCTTGCACATGGGGCCACAGTGAGGTCCCACGGCAGGGCTGGGGCACACGGTACCGGGATTGCGTGGGTGCCGACCAGGATGGCGCCTGACCTTGGGGACTCCGGGTGGCCATTGGGATCCCTGCCTGACAGCCCTCTGGAGACCATGGAGCACAGCTTAGCCTCCGAGGCCTGGGCTCAGGACCACCAGCTTTGGATGGTGCGGAGGGGGCAGAACTGGGCCTGGGGGGGGGGCGCTGCAGAGGGCAGCCAAGGGCCAGGCAGGGTCCCCTGGTTCTGTGAGATGAGGGTGTGGGGCGCCACGCGGCCAAGTCTGGCTGCATTTGGGTAGAATAGGGCCAGGCCGGTGTGGTCTTGGCCGGGCGATGGGGAGGGGCCATGCTCCCGGGGGTCCTTCAGAATGGATTCAAACTGTGGGCGCCCAGGGAGAGGGTGCCGTCCCAGGGCCCAGTGAGGCCCAGCAGCCCCAGCTCCTCTGCAGTGCCTCCTCTGCAGCGCCCCCTCCGGCAACTGGCCTTTCCTTCCCTCCAGTCCTTGATCTTCAGAGCCCACACTTGACTGTGCGGGGTGGGGGCTGGAGGTGGGCTCTGCTTTTGCTCATTCCTGTGAACGTCAGCTGTAGACGAAAGCTGTGTTTGTCCCCGAGGGCCTGCTTGCTGGCCCTGTGCTCGCTGGACTCAGCCAAATTGCCCATCTGGGAACCATAAGGTGTCAGAGGGTGCTGGGGGCTGCGGCCAGGAAGGTCAGTTCTCGAAGTCCCCACAGGGGTCTTCTGCCCATTCCTGCAGGCTGCTCGGGGTGCAGGCAGAGCCTGAGCCCACAGGCCAGCAGGAGTCTCAGGGAACACTGGCGGCTCTGGCGTGGGCAGGGGACCCGGTCTGACTGCCCACCCTCCCATCCGGCCCTCAGGGTGTGCAAGACCTGACCCCCCCAACCGCAGTGCCCTCCCCCTCCTTGAGGACCCCTGCACCCTCCCTGCAGGACGGACGGGGGTGACCGAGGCAGAAATGACACAGACATGGTTCTGTACAAAACCTGAAATATCTTTACTCTTTTAAAACTTTGATTTAAGTTGCCTTAGGCCTCATGGACTCAATACAAGAGTAATATGAATTGGGAAATAAAACACTTTAATAGCCACGATAAACTTTGTTAGAAATGTACATGTTGCCAAAATAATAATAAAATTAAAAAATAAGAGAGAGAGAGAGAACAGTTTGATGGCCGGGTTAGATTATATAAATGTTCAACAGTAACAGGCAAGGAAACCTTCGAAACGCTGGACTGGAGCGGACCGGTCTGTGGGCGCGGCCGTGCCCACCCCCCGGCTCGGCAGCCACGCCCCCGCCAGGCGGGCCAGGCCCAGGCCTGCGCGAGGCGGCCTCTCCGTGTGGACAGCACACCCGGGGATGGGCATATAAACAAAGCTCGTAAGAAATATACAAATATAAAAAGCTACAAACATTAATAAATTACAGCATCACAAAACACAGAACACTTCACAAGGTGCTAGTAAAATAACTGTCCCCCACCCCTTCATCAACAGGAAGGAAAGAAAGCTGGTATTCAAGTTGAAGACGCGTCTTCAAACATATCTGAAATAGATCTTTTGTGTACTGTTTGCTTCTGTAAAGACAGATATAAGGCTGCACAGACATTACTTGTTTTTCAGGCAATACCTTAGTCCCTAAAATAAAATTTAAAAATAACCATAGCAATAAAAAAAAAAAAAAAAAAAAAAAAAGGAGGGAAAAGAAAAAGCATCGGAAACCCAACTGTTCATCAGACTCGGCAAAAAACTCGTATAAATGTTAATGAAGGACTCTAGAAAGAAATTCCTAAAGATACTTTTACTCTTATAAAAAAGAAGTTATTTAAAAAGCTATTTACACGCTACATTCTATGAAAAATATGCTCCAGGAAGTACATCTAAAATTAAAATACAGGATTGCCTGAGAAACAAATCCAGCCCCTCCGTGTCCATGGGTGGGCTCGGTCCAGGAGCCGCCCACGCACGCGACACCAAGCGACAGGTGACAGGACAGAGTGCCAGGCCCCCGAATCCTTGGGCCGCCTGGCCGCCCTCCGCCCCGCCAGGCTCGGGGCAGGGCGCCTGGGCTGGCAAGTGCTTTTGGGAGTGTGGCCAGTGGGACTGGACAGGACCCACCCTGTGGCTTTGCCTGGGCCCCTGGGCCTGCGTCAGGGCTGGGGACCCCACAGTGGCTCCCCGACCCACGGATACGCTGACCCTGCTGCCGGCCCCGTCGTTCCTAGAAATGCCCTGGGCATTCTGGGGCGACACCCACCGGAGCCATGGGGAAGGCTCTCCGGACATGCGGAGAGCCACTCGGGAAGAGATGAGGGCACACAGACACCCTGCTTTCTCCTCCTTTTCCTCTCTCATGGTCTTTGCCTTTTTTTAAGCCTCTGGAGGCTCCCAGCCTGTGGCTGGCCCAGGCTCTGGGCCTGGTGAGTGTTGGCTCACTCCTCCTTCCTCGAAGGACTCATGCTCCCAGCAGAGCGGCAGAGGCCCTGCCACCTCCGCGCTCGGGTGCCTAGAGGCCCCGAAACCGGAATGGTCCTCAGACTGGCGGGGCCGAGCTCCGGGCACTGGTCACGCTAAGCGACGTGAGAAGGGACATCTGTCCGCACCGGCGGTGCTCAGGTGCGGGCAGTGGAGGCTGGGCGGCCTCCCGGGCCGGCGGCGGGGCACCCTCCTGGGGGCTGACGGCGTAGCGGGGCTCCGGGGTCCTGAGCGGAGCAGAAGGATCCTGGCTCTCCAAACTTTAAAGGAGCAGCTTTCCATTCCGATGAATTTTCAAAATTTTCCCAAGCCTCTGCTTGGCGGTGGCCATGCCCTTTTTTGTACGTTTTCCTGGGGGTAGAAGAGGGGACACAAAAAGGCGACAGCTGTGTGAGAGGGCACGGGGAGCGGCGTGGGGGCGGGGAGTGCAAGCCCCCCTCACGCCCCCGTCTGGCGGGAAGCGGGTCTGTGGCCCCCGAGCCTGGGGGACCTGCACCCTCCGAAAGCATGAATCTTCCACCAAACCCCGCCGCCGTCGCCGGGGCAGGGGCGAAGGCGTGGGGCTGAGGCCAGGGTGGGATGGGCCAGGCAATGGCACCGGGTGAAGAGAGATCCCTGCCTACCTCCTGGCGACAGGGCCACCTGGAGCACCGAGCTGTGCCCCTGCCGCTGGGCCTCACGGCCAGCGGGGAGGACTGCTGGGAGCGGAGTCCGAGGCGGGAGGAGTGAGCCAACCACTAACCAGGCCGGGGGGCCGGGGGCCGGATGGGGAGATGCCAGGCAGTTGTGCCAACTCCAATTCACAGAGGGTCCTGGGCCAGTGCCCCTGGACCCCTCCCTCGGCAATCGGTTTACCACACCCTGACTCCAGGCTGAGCCAAAGTCAGGTAACCAGGCCCCCTGCCCCCAGCGGGGGGCTCTGGCCCTCAGCCTGCGGGAGGCCGCCCCTTCCCCACTGGCTGTGGCCACACACGGGCTCCGGGCAGGAGCCTGCGGTCACCTCCGCAGACGGCCCGCCGGCCGGAGCTGCGCGGGGCGGGCGGGCACGGTACCTTTGGCGGCGGCGCTGTTGGGGGAGGACGCGGAGGGCCGCCGCTGCGAGACGAAGACCCCGGGCGCCATGGGCTGGGCGGCGCGGCTGGCCGGGGCCCCGCCGAAGGAGCCGGCCGCCGTGTACTCGTGGTCGGCCAGGCTGCTGCTGTGCGCCTCGGGCGGGAGCTCGGGCGAGCTGCCCTCCTGCGAGGCCTGGCTGCTGGCCGTGCTGGTGGAGGCGGGGGTGGCGGAGGCGGGGGTGGCGGAGGCCGAGGTGCTGCTGGCCGAGGTGGTGGAGGCGGAGGCGGAGGCGGAGGCGGAGGCGGAGGTGGACGTGGACGTGGAAGTCAGCTTCCTCTTGGAGTTCTTCCTCTTCCTGCTCCTCTGCTCCTCCTGGGGACGAAGCCGGGGCAGGTTAGCCGGCGGGCGGGGCGGGCTCAGGTGCGGGCAGGCAGGCGGGCAGAGCAGCTCTCACCGCCTGGACCTGGGGAGGCCGGTCCCTGAGCTCCAGGCCTCTCCCGGGAGCTGGGGGCCAGCGCTGTTGGGGCCGAGAGGCTGGGCCAGTGCCTGCGAGGTCAGGGCGGGGACGGGGGGCCACCACGCTCCCTCGTGCAGGGGAGGCCCTGCACAGGGGCCCCGTCACCCTGCTCTGAGCCACCTCGGGCCTCTTGGCTCTAGAGTGTTCACTGTGGGCCTGCGAACCTCCTCAGGCGCCCAGATGGGGTCGGGCCTGGTCTGGGTGACACCTGAGAGTCTGAGGCCCTCCCTTCGGAGGGCGCCGGGACCAGGAGAAGCTGACGTGGCAAAGGAAAGGGTCGGAGGCGGAGCAGCCGCCTCAGCTCCGTGGGGGCAAGAGGAAGAGGGGAGGCCCCACGGAGCGTGTCCCCTGCACCTAGGACCACGGTCCTCACCACGACAGGCAGCGAGGGCCGGCCCCCGGTTCCCGCTGTGGGGACTCGGGGCCTGAACCAAGCGATACTCAGGCCCCCCGCCGGCGCCAGCCCTCGGGATGGGTGGCTTCTGCTTCAGGCAGGGCCCTCCTCACCTGCTGGGACAGCTTGGCTGCAGCGGCCGCCAGCCCGGTCTCGATGGAGGCCACTCTGGTCCCCTCTCGAACAGGCCTGTCCTGCCTCGGCACCGATGGGCCAACCCTCGCTGTGGGAAAGAGGGTCAGCGAGCCTCAGTGGGCAGCCCTGCGGGCACCCCTGGACCCACCCAGCCCAGCCTGTTCCTGCGTCCAGGGACACCTCACAAGTTCGGGGGGGGGAGGGAGGGGAGGGGCGGTCAGTGAAAGGCCCAACGGGGTAGGCCATCCCACCCAGCAAGGCGGGAGGGCAGGAGGGGGGCAGGTGGAACGTGGACCAGGCGCCCCCTCCTGGCTGCCATCCGGGGCCAGAAGCTCAGGCTCCCCCCACCAGCTGGCGCCGGTGCAGGAGCACAGGCAGGGACAGCCCTCGCCAGCAGAGCGCCCACATGCCATGGCTGTCCTGGGGTGGACAGAGCCCTCCCGCCAGCTCTACCTGTCGGGCTGTAGGGGGCGTCATCTGAGGCTTTCCTCTTCTTGGACCGGGACTTGAAGACGGGGCTGTCCTCGTCGGACTCCAGGGAGGGGTACACTGCAGAGGCAACGGGAGGGAGGCTGAGCCCAGCACCCAGCGCGGGCCTGCGCACCCGGGAACGGACGTCCTGGGAGCCTCCTCCGGTGCAGAGCGTTGGCTCCGTTAGGTTCAGAGAGGGGCAGCCAGCGGGCAGCCGAGAGGACCTGGCCAGCCTCCCGGTGACCTCAACAGCCTGGGCAGCCTGACCCGGCACCCACTTCACCCGTTCTGAGAACGCCCCGCCCTCTCCGCTACCGGGAAACAAAACCCCAACGTCCACAGAGCCGGGTGCGCTGGGCGCCCCGACCCCCGTGGGCATCCCTGGAGGAGACGGCCTCACCCGGCCGCTCTAGCGGACGTGCAGCTGCCACCCCACCTCCCGCCCTGTAAGCGGACCTGGACCCCCAGCAGCCACCCTGTGCCCGGGAAATGGAGCTCACTCCACTTCCGTCAGCCCGGGGCCGGCCGGGAGGCACAGCCGTGCCCAGCAGAGGGGCAGGGCAGCCCGGGGCCGGCCGGGAGGCACAGCCGTGCCCAGCACAGGGGCAGGGCAGCCCGGGGCCGGCCGGGAGGCACAGCCGTGCCCAGCAGAGGGGCAGGGCAGCCCGGGGCCGGCCGGGAGGCACAGCCGTGCCCAGCAGAGGGGCAGGGCAGCCCGGGGCCGGCCGGGAGGCACAGCCGTGCCCAGCACAGGGGCAGGGCAGCCCGGGGCCGGCCGGGAGGCACAGCCGTGCCCAGCACAGGGGCAGGGCAGCCCGGGAGGCACAGCCGTGCCCAGCAGAGGGGCAGGGCAGCCCGGGGCCGGCCGGGAGGCACAGCCGTGCCCAGCAGAGGGGCAGGGCAGCCCGGGGCCGGCCGGGAGGCACAGCCGTGCCCAGCACAGGGGCAGGGAAGCCCGGAGGGCTGTGGGAACGGAGCCCGGGGCCCATGGGCCATCGGGGCTGCGCTGAAGGCAGGCCTACAGCACGGGCAGCGCGCTCCTAACCCTGGGAGCGGGCCTGTTAGCACGCTGTGCCCGCGGGAAAGAGGTGTCCCTAGGCAGCTCCTCGCTTCCAAACCCCCTTCTGGAGCCAGCCTGAGCCGGTGTCTCATCCACACGCAGACAGCGGTGGACGTGGCATCGGTGCGTCCACTAGTGTGAGCTGGTGCAGCTGCGTGGAGGGCGTGGGCCAGGCCTCAGAACCCAGCATGCCCTCCCACGTATGTGCTGGGCACACTGGCACGGGCCACACAGGCCCCTCACACCAGTGTTCATGCGGCGCTCGTCACAACCCCCAGGGGCGGACGCCCGGTGTGCTCTGTGGCGCGGTGCGCACACGTGTTCAGCCACCACGCTGTGTGCTGGCACTCGGCCATCACGTGAGGGGCTGCCAAAGGTGAGCCCTGAGGACGCCGAGGAGAGAAGCCAGACACCAGGGCCACGCACCGCTGGGTGCAGTGAGCAAGACACCCCCGGCCGTCAGGGACAAGGTTACCGGGGCATGGATGGGGCGGGAGTGGCTTCCTCTAGGGGCGGTGACAGCTCAGACTGGTGTAGTGCCGGTGACACAGCTCAAATACACTCAGCACCACTGTGCGTGCGTGCGCGTGTGTGTGTGTGTGTGTGTGTGCGCGTATGCGTGTGCGTGTGTGTGTGTATGCGTGTGCATGCATGTGTGTGTGTGTGTGTGTGTGTGCGCACGCATGTGTGCGCGGGCTGCCCCCATAGCAGTGGAGCCGGGAGCCGGCAGAGGCAGTGTCCTCGGTGCCCGGGGCCTCCGCACCTGCGGGAGGGGGAGGGGACTTGCTGCCCGCCTGCCCGGGCCAGAGCGCCCGCTGCCCAGCGGGAGCCACGTTCCTTTGCTTCCGCACCAGACACTGTCCCAGACCCGGACCGACACGCTGCCTTCAGCACAGTGGTTTCCCTCACACGCGGGGCGCCTTGGCTTCGGGATGTGGGGCGCCGCCCGCTCTCGGGGGGCACCGCCCGCTCTCGGGGGGCACCGCCCGCTCTCGGGGGGCACCGCCCGCTCTCGGGGGGCACCGCCCGCTCTCGGGGGCACCGCCCACTCTCAGGGGCACCGCCCGCTCTCGGGGGGCACCGCCCGCTCTCTGGGGGCGCCGCCCGCTCTCAGAGGGCACAGCCCGCTCTCGGGGGGCGCCGCCCGCTCTCAGGGGGCGCCGCCCGCTCTCGGGGGGCGCCGCCCGCTCTCGGGGGGCACAGCCCGCTCTCGGGGGGCGCCGCCCGCTCTCGGGGGAACCGCCCGCTCTCAGGGGGAACCGCCCGCTCTTGGGTGGCACTGCCCGCTCTCAGGGGCACCGCCCGCTCTCAGGGGCACTGCCCGCTCTCGGGGGGCACTGCCCGCTCTCTGCCGGCTCTCAGGGGGCGCCGCCCACTCTCGGGGGCACCGCCCGCTCTCGGGGGCACCGCCCACTCTCAGGGGGCACCGCCCGCTCTCGGGGGGCCGCCCGCTCTCGGGGGGCCGCCCGCTCTCGGGGGCGCCGCCCGCTCTCTGCCCGCTCTCAGGGGCACCGCCCGCTCTCAGGGGGCGCCGCCCGCTCTCAGGGGGCGCCGCCCGCTCTCGGGGGGCGCCGCCCGCTCTCGGGGGGCACAGCCCGCTCTCGGGGGGCGCCGCCCGCTCTCGGGGGAACCGCCCGCTCTCAGGGGGAACCGCCCGCTCTTGGGTGGCACTGCCCGCTCTCAGGGGCACCGCCCGCTCTCAGGGGCACCGCCCGCTCTCGGGGGGCACTGCCCGCTCTCTGCCGGCTCTCAGGGGGCGCCGCCCACTCTCGGGGGCACCGCCCGCTCTCGGGGGCACCGCCCACTCTCAGGGGGCACCGCCCGCTCTCGGGGGGCCGCCCGCTCTCGGGGGGCCGCCCGCTCTCGGGGGCGCCGCCCGCTCTCTGCCCGCTCTCAGGGGCACCGCCCGCTCTCAGGGGGCGCCGCCCGCTCTCTGCCCGCTCTCGGGGGGCACCGCCCGCTCTCGGGGACGCCGCCCGCTCTCGGGGGCGCCGCCCGCTCTCGGGGGCGCTGCGGCCTGTGGCTGCCCTCCCAGGAAAGGCGCTCCAGGCCACCTGCGGCGCTCACCGTAGTCCGAGTCCTTGAAGCAGGCGTCCAGGTGGTCCTGCTCCTCGTAGTCGTCCAGGTCCACGCTGTGCTTGGCCGCCCTCTTCAGCAGCCGCTTGCCCGCGCTCTTGCCGCCCGCCCCGTTCCTGCGGGCGCCGTGGGCCGCCAGCGCGCTGCCCTTGGCCTGGCCCGCGCCCCACGCGGCCTGCAGGCAGGAGTCCGAGGCCTGCAGGTTGGCCATGGACAGCATTCCCTGAATGGCTTCCTGCGTGCTGGGCGAGGCGGGGGGCTGGCTGGAGGCAGAGACACAGCGTCAGACGCGGCCCCAGCCACGCCGCGGCCTCCCCAGCGGCCGGGGAGGTGTGGGGGCGGGGAGGGTGGAGACTTCCCGGGAAATGGCCCCTGTCTATGGGGGACACAGGGAAGGAAGGTGCGGGGGGAGACAGACAGAGGGAGGTCACGGCAGGCTGAGCTGCACTCCAGCTGGCTGCTCGCCACCGCGGCCGGTGCTCCTCCCTCAGCCGCCACGGCGCCCTCCACGGGCCACAGCGCTCACTCCCACGGGGGGGACTGCCCAGGGCTGTGCCGTCACCGAACTACAGACACACCCAGGTCTACGGCTGATCCTGTCCACACACCGAACCACCCCACCCCTGCACTGGACCTACACCTCCACATCCCACCCGCCTGTACCCACCCCCCTGCACCTGCCTCTCTACTCACACCGCACCCCTACTCACACCCCCCTGCACCTGCTGCTACACCCCACTGCACCTGCCTCTCTACTCACACCGCACCAACCCGCACCCCTACTCACACCCCCTGCACCTGCTGCTACACCCCACTGTACCTGCCTCTCTACTCCCACCGCACCGCCCGCACCCCTACCCACACCCCCTGCACCTGCTGCTACACCCCACTGTACCTGCCTCTCTACTCACACCGCACCCCTACCCACACCCCTGCACCGCTCCTACACCCCACTGCACCTGCCTCTCTACTCACACCCACACCGCCCCGCACCCCTACTCACACCCGCACCCCTACTCACACCCGCACCCCTACTCACACCCCTGCACCGCTCCTACACCCCCCTGCACCGCTCCTACACCCCACTGCACCTGCCTCTCTACTCACACACACCGCACCCCTACTCACACCCCCCTGCACCGCTCCTACACCCCACTGCACCTGCCTCTCTACTCACACCGCACCGCACCGCACCCCTACTCACACCCGCACCCCTACTCACACCCACACTCCTACTCACCCCCGCACCCCTACTCACACCCACACCCCCCAGGCTGAGTCCAGGTTTCCTCCAGCCGCTTCCCGCCCCTCCTGGACTGCAGGCCCTCCCGAGGGTCCTGCCCAGCCTCCTTCTCTGCCCCATGCCCTTCCCCTGCCCCACAGCCCACCATGTGAGGGGCATTACCCCCTCACAGCCCGTCCCCTAGGCAGACTGGAATCCCCTGGTAGCTTACACATGCCAATACCAATAAATGCCAGAGATTCTACACTGGCCTGGGCTCCAGGTACCCCTGCCCTGCTCACCCCCACATCCCCACAGGCATAGCGCCCAGCCAGGCAGCTCCCAGCGGGCGTCTCCCTCCAGGGAGAACATGGGTGTCACCTGGCCATCGCCCGGGACAGAATGGCAGCCCAGCCTGCGGAGCCCACCACACGCTCACTGCCTCAGGGTGGCGGGAGAGGACCCTCTGTCCCTGAAGTCCCGGGGGCAGGGCCGGGAGCCCCGCTTAGTCCTCCTGCCACAGCCCGAGAGTCCCAGGCGAAGGCAGCCGGGGCCCCACCCCATGTGCCTGCCCGTCCAATAGGCCTCCCCAGGGGACACCTGCCCGCAGGGATGCCGTGACCCCGATGCAGCACCAAAATCACTGCTCCATGCGGCCTCCTGGGGGCTCTGCACCCCCCCTTTCACACTCCCTCCTCCTCGCTCCCTCCTCGCTCCAAAGCGTTCGGGGCATCTATGATAATGAAAGCATCCGACGCGAATTACCCCGGCCGTCCCGACGGCCTTCCAGACGAAGCTGGGGCCGGAGGGAAGCCCGGCCAAGGGCCGGCAGCGGGGAGGAAGGCTGCCTCTCGCACGAATCCCGTGCCCCGGCCTCTGGTGTTTACGAGGACCAATAGAGCGAGAAGCGGAGAGGAGGACCGCTCAGAAACAAGAGCCCCCCGGGCCTGCAGCTGGAGGGGGTGTGCGTGTGTGAGTGTGAGAGTGTGTGTGGGTGTCTGTGTGTGTGGAGCTGACAGAGGGCACAGACCTGGGACGGTCCCTGAGCCAGGGGCCTCCCCGGCAAGTGTGGACAGCAGCCGCCCTGTGAGAGGCACCGCTGGGCTCCAGGCCAAGCAGAGGGGGAGGCGATGGGCAGGCCCTCCACACCACCCCCGCCCCACCCAGGATGCACTGGCCCAAGTGCTCCGGATTCCACCGGAACTGAACAGGATCACGTTCCTAAGCCACAAACAATAGGAAACATCAAGCAGTGTCAGACCACCCTGGTTCTTAGACCCCCAGCTGGCCCCGTCTGCTCGGTGCCAGGACTGGCCCCGGCACGGTGCCCTGCGCTGCCCGGGAAGCATGACCAGACCCCCTGGGGCGCGCCGCACTCGGCAGCCACGGCTCTGCCTTCTGACGGGGCCTCTGCACCAGGCCCGGTGGAGGGAGCGTGATACGGCCGGCCCTGAGGTCTGGGTCGCTTACCCAGCCGCGGACCATACAGACACCAGCTTCCAAGGAGGATGGGAAAGTGGGGCAGGACCTTCACCTTGAGGATTCCCACTCATACCAGCTGAACCCCGAGGCCCAGCTCGGCTGCAACCACGAGGGCCGCCGCCCGGGGCTGCATCTGTGCACGGCAGGCGCAGATCAAGAAGGAAGGCTAAGCAGCGTGCATGGAAAGTACCACCTTAATCCCCCAATTATCCTGCCCAAACCTCTCCTTCCCCCTGAGGTAAACACTAAGCAAACCATCCACCAGAAATTAACATAGTTTCCTCCATTTTCTTCAGCTGATTTTTTCCAAACGGCGAGTACTTAAAACAGAGCAAATGGACCATCAAAACTGACCTACGCTCCAAATGGAGACTGGAGGGCCTGCTGTGGCAGGCTGGGGGGGACGGGGGGAGGGTGGGGGGGGCGCAGGCACGTGTGCAGTGTGGGCAGCACACCGCAGACCCGCGGCCCTCCTGGAGCCGGGCCTGCCAGGCTGGCCGGGAGCCCACGCTGAGGCACCTGTGCTCCCAGCTCCTCAACCCGGGCTCTCCCCCTGGACCTTGCAGGAGCCCAGGTGTCTAGGGCTCCTCTCCGGGTCTGAGTGCCCCCCAGATCTGTGAGGTGCTGGCTAGCCACAGTTCTACTCAGAAAAAGGCACCCCGAAGGGTCATGGGGCTCCCAGCCAGACTTCTCCTGGCAAAGGTGCTGAGGGGCCTAGGCTTCACACCCACAGAAACCCCTCAGAGCTGACAGAAAACCTGCACCACTCCCGCAGGCGGGCATGACACTGCACACAAAAACAGTGACTTATGAACGAAAATAGGGCCATTTGGTTAGCAAGAGCCCCTTTCAGCTGAGCCCCAGTCACCTCCGGAGAGCCCCTCCAGTTAAGATGGGCCTGGCGTGCGGCCTCCACACACTCACGCATTCTGGGAACATGGATTCGGAGGGTGGGGTGGTGCGGAGGGCAGATGTGGGGACACAGAGGGCATTGTGCAGGCCACATGAGCCCAGCTTCCTTAGGCCCCGTCCCTCTGGCCCGGATGACACCACGCACAAGATGAACCTCCCTGGTGCCCCCAGGCAGACAGAGGTTCTGGTCCTCCCTCTGCCGCCTCCTAGCAGTGAGGCCTGGAGCCAGCGGTCGAAGCCTGTTTCCCCATCTCTGCTGCGGGAGTCTGCTGCTGTCTGAGTACAAGAAGCGGAGACCTCCCCACGGTGGCTAAGGCCCCTGCGTGGGAGGCTGCGGGGGCACAGGCCTCGGCTCTGTGGTACTTGTAGAAAATCCATGGGGGGGGGAGGAACTGGCCAAAATGCTTAAAAAGAAAACTTAACTGGGTCTGAGAGAGAAACAAGCCCCAGCCCTTGATTGAATGCAAAGCCCAGATTAATCCATTTCTCCTGAATCAGAAATCGGACTCGTCAGGCCTGGGCGGGAAGGGCCTGAGGTGGTGGGCACACACCCTGGACCACCTGCCCATCAGCCCGGACCCTCGGGGCCTCGAGGAAGGACAGCATCCACACCCCGTGCGAGGGCCCCGACCAGCTAACAGGCCGCACCTCTGGACTCCAGGACAGGCTGCCGCTGGTGCCGGTCCAGCCCTCACTTCCCTGTGCTCTGAGCCACCGTGTCCCGGCCTCAGGGTGAAGCCTCCGCAGAGAAGGCAGCCTTAGGGCTCAGGAAGGCTCATCAATGCCCTGGACTCGGACACAGGATGCGCACCCTGCAAGCTTTCGTACGTTATTCTTACGGCATTCACAAAGCGACAAGCCAGAGATGGCTGTACGTCCCAGCCTGGAGCAGCCCTGACTGACTCCTGGCAGGTGCCTGCTCGGGCACTGCTTCCTCAGAGGGCCCCCCAGGTACGGCACCCCTCAACTGCCCCTCAACTCCTCCTGCCTCAGTCCCCACCTGCCAGCACTTCGCAGCCTCCCTCCCGGGCACCTGGAGCTGTGGCGGGAGGCCGCTCCATCAAGACCCCGCAGACAGGCACCTCCCTGACTGCCCGGCACCCCCTCTGCCCGGCAGGGGTCCAGCTCTGCCTACCCGGTCCCTGGGGCGTGGGCTCCTGCGGCGTGAGGCCCCTGCGCGCACACTGCCACGGCCACACGGCCCCGCCTCAGCACCCGCAGGCCCACGTGGGAGCACCAGCCCCTCGCGCCCGCGGCCGGCCTACCTGTTGGGATTGTAGTCGAGCGCGCCCACCTCCTCGCTGGCCTGCAGCAGGTCCAGGATGCCCGCGGCCGAGCCCCCGCCGTCCTTCTTCGCTTTGGCGTTGCGGGTGGGCTTGGTGTCCGTGTCGATGCGCAGGGAGCCCTCGTCCGAGGAGTCGTCGCTCGGCTGTGGGGATGGGGAGCCGGTCAGAACAGAGCGGGGGGAGGGACAGGACTACCGTTCCCCTTGACAAGAAAAACAAGTTTTTAAAAATAGTTAAAAAGATCCCAACCTGGGATGAGCAGGTGGGGCTGGCCGGCCGGCCGGCCCGGGGGTTACTGGGGTTTCCCATCGGGACTGTGGAGCCTGCCTGCCCAGCACTGCTCCCCAGAGGAACCCTGGCCCCCAAGACCTTATGCCAGAGCCCCGTGTGGAGCACAGGCACCAGGAGCCAGCGCGGTCGGGTGAGGAGCAGGCAGGGGACCCCCGCACCCGAGGCTCCGGTTAACAGGAGGCTCCGAGGGGAAACTCCGGGGCTGCCCGGGCAGCATGTGAGACCCCATGGGGACTACCAGGCCCACCGGAGAGAGCCACCACCTCGTGGCTGGATGAGGCCTTCCCAGTCATCTAACCTAGTCCCCCAGCAGGCCCAGCCCTGCTCGGCACCCATCCTCAGGGTCAAGAGAGGCGCCATCTTCATGGCACCTGGCTGGGCGCTCCTGAGGCCCACCCTCCCTCAGACCTGCAGACCCTCCACACCCCGCTCCTGCTTCCCCCCTGCTGTGCAAGGCCTTGGGCTCACGTCCCCACCGCCGGAGCCCAGCCAGCCTCCCCACAAACACGCCAAGAAGACACCCCGCCGCACCCGGGCAGAAAGCGCACCGGCCGCGGCCGCGGGGGCCCCGAAGCAGCTCACCTGGCAGGGCGCCGCGTCCAGCTTTGGCTTCGAAACGGGCATGGGCTGAGGCTCCTTCCTGTCCAGTAAGACTGAGACCAAAGCAGACGGGAGTTGGTGGATCGCTCTGGCCAGCCACGCCAGACACCCACCCTCTCCAGGATGGCCCTACAGGGCTGGGTCTGCCCCTCCACGTGTCCCCCAACTTACAGGACAGGTCTCTCTTCGGGGCGTTTTTCTTCCTCCTGATGGGAAACTCATCAATCTTGAGCTCCCCGTCATCCGACACGTACTCGTACTCATCCCGCACGGGCTGGGGCTTGTCCTCCTTGAAGTTCTGCAAGGCCCCAGACACCCCCGGGCTCGGCTGCGGCTTGAGGCCCTTGGAGCTGGGACGGAAGTGGACCGGTCAGTGGGTTCCACCTGGCCCAGCTGGTGCCATGGCACAGAGGGTCAGCGGTCACACCGAACACTGCCCGATCCCACAGCTCCCTCCCGGGTGCCACGGGCCAGCTCACGAGGCACGGCCTGGCCCTCTCCTGTCTCCGGGTGTGCCCTGCACTGCCCGTCCCTGGCCACCGGACCAGCATGGCCTTCCTCCCGCCTGCCTCGCTTCTCTGTGCAGGGGCTGTGTGTGTGCGTGTGTGTGTGTGTGTGACAGGGGGTGTGTGGCTCAGGCCTAGGGAGACAGAGGCTGGGGCAGAGCGTGTGACATTCCCAAGGGCGCAGCTCCAATGCCCAACTGTAGGCACAGAGGCTGACCACCGTGGGCCGGCTGGCTGGGGGCATGAGCCGGGTGACACCGCCCACGCAGTGTGATGTGGTTACAGAGTCGTGTCCACCTTCCTCTCCTGCACTTCTAGACTCTCTACAGCATGGTGTGTCCTAGAGCGAAGGGCGTTAAAAAGTCTCCAGGAGGAGCTCAGAGCCACGAAGTCAGGGCAACAGGGCCCCGGACCAGGCCAATCCCACCCGCGCATCGACCGGCCTCAGAGCATGGCCATACGCTCCGGGGAATAACGGGCATGCCGCCCCGGCCCCGCCCCACTTCTCCGCCCCTGGAGCGGCTCTCTCCCCCCATCTCGCAGGAGAGGAAACAGGCCCACCCAGCAAAGGGGCCCCGCTCTGCAGTGATGTAGCTGCTTCCTGCCTTCGGGGCACCCACAGGCTCAGCAAGCAGCCTGTGGGACCACCGTCGGTGAGACGTCTCAGGGGCATGAAGCCCGCCCTGTGCACCGGACCCTGGGCTGCAGGCTGTCAGCAGGCACGGACCTGCTCCACAGTCTGGAAAACACACACCCACACCCAGGCTGGCACCCCAAAGTCTTCGCTCAGCGCCACCTCCTCTTGGAAGCCCTCTCCACTCCTTGGGCACACAAGGACCCACGTCCCTGTCACAGTCACAATTTTAGGTGGGTCTGAGAGTACGGGGTTCACAATGTGTGTCTTCCCCTCGCCCCCTGCACACTGGCCTCTGAGGACAGGGTCCTGAGCTCCACCACGTCCTCTGTCCCAGAAAAGCCACCAGCTAATGTCTACCCAATCACGCCCTCCCCTCCCTCCCTGCCACACACACCGTGGCCCTCCCCATCCACACAGGCTGTGGCTCAGGAGGCAGAGGAGGGTCTGCCCAGTGGGGCCCGCACAGGGTATTCCCAGTGATGTCAGCCAGCTCAGGAAGGGCTTCTCCTGAGGAACCCTTCAGGTAAGTGTGTGTATGGAGGGGTCTGCAGGGTGTGAGTGCCTGTGCGTGTTGTGTGTGATGTGTGTGAAGGCGTGTGCATTGTGCATGGAAGGGTGTGCAGAGTGTGTGTGTGTGTGTGTGTGTGTGTGTGTGTAGGTGGTGAGGGTGTGTTGTGCACATGCATGATGTGTATGATGTGTGTGCTGTGAGGAGGGGTGTGCAGGGTGTGTTGTGCATGGAGGGGTGAATAGGGTGTGCATGCATGTGTGATGTGTGTGGAGGGGTGTGCAGGGTGTGTTGTGCAGAAGGTGTGTGTGTGTGTGTGTGTGTGTGTGTGTGATGTGTGTGGAGGGGTGTGCAGGGTGTGTTGTGCAGAAGGGGTGTGTGTGTGTGTGTGTGTGTGTGTGTATGATAGGTGTGGAGGGGTGCGCAGGGTGTGTGATGTGAGGGACCTTGAGGGTGTCTGTGACTGTGACCCCTCCTGCCAGGAGCATCACATACCCCAGAAGCTTCTTGTTGGAGAAGGAAAATGAGAATTTGGTGTCCTTGTTCCCTGATGTAGGAGGCTTCTCCAACTTCTGCTCTTCCTCCATCTTCAGCAGGGAGTCGGGTTTGCTGTTCTGAAAAGCAAACCCGGGACCACTGTTAAGTCCCACACGGGATGCCCAACCGGCCGCCTCCCTCTGAACACACCATTCAGGGACCCGTGGAGCTGTAGGGCCTGTCTTGGGAGCATGAGCTCAACCCAGGGCTGAGTGAAGGAGGGCAATGCCATCAGTCAGCTCAAAGGGCCACACGCTCAGCCTCCTGGGCCGGAATGCTCCCATAACAGCCCCACGGGAGGCGGCCCCTCCAGGTCACACACATACCCAGACCTCCACTGCACGGCCCCCTGGGGATGGGTGGACACAGTTGTACATGCCCTACAAGAATAGGTATGTACCTCTGCTCATAACACCACGCCCACAAATGCCCACACACGACCTGTCTCGTAAATGCAGCGCTCCCTGAAAGTAGACTCACTCACCACATGTGCATGCAAACACACGTGTGCACGCACGCACACCCACATGCTTGCACACAGAAACCCATGAGCACACACATGCAAACACACAGGTGCATACACATGCACGCCCACAGGCATACATCTCACCTTGTACTTCCACTTGGCCTCTGACTTGCTCTTAGTCTGCTCTCGGATTTCCAGCCTTTCCACGTCATTCTGTGTGATTACCTCCTTGTTGGGCACACTCAGGACGCTCTTTGCGGCCTAGAAAACAGCAGCCATGACCCAGTGGTAGACATGGGAGGGCAGGGAGCTACTTTAGGCTACAGGACAAAACAAGAATCACAGAGTCCCTCCCTCCTCCTGGCCCATATGCAGCAGCTCATCCATCTATCCACCCACCCATCCGCCACCTATCCACTCATCCATCCATCCATCCATCCGACCGTCCGTCCATCCATCCATCCATCCATCCATCCATCCATCCATCCATCTACCATCCACCCATCTACCATCCACTCACCCATCCACCCACCAATCCATCCACCTTCCATTCACCATGCACCTATCTATCCACCTACCCACCCACCCATCCATCCAACCAGCTATCCATCCACCTACTCTTCTTTTCCTTCTCCCTCCCTCCTTCCTTCCATCCATGTGTTCATTCACTCATTTATCTACTCTGTTTGCCTTAAGGAAGGGAAACCGGATGTCCCAGTGCAGGCCTGCAAGGCTGGTCCTGGTGTTCGCAGACCTCCTGGAAGGTTAAAAGCCTTTCGCCAGCAGAAATCACCCAGTGAGACCTACTGGTCTCAGACACTCATGGCCCCTGAAGCCCATACTTAAGACCTTCTGATTACACTGGTGGGCCCTCAGGGCCAGGCCTGACTCACTCTGCCCACAGGGGCTCGGGCCCCCATTGCCAAAGAGATGGGCAACTGCTCATAACACCACGCCCACAAATGCCCACTATCCATCCACCTACTCTTCTTTTCCTCCTCCCTCCCCTCCTACTACTCCCCACTACCCTCCACTTGGTGCCTCACTTACCTTCAAATCTCACCCAATGTCTGGGTCCTGGGAAGACAGCCAGCTCATTCCCCACATGACCACCCTGTCCCAGCACAGACACTGCCGCCTTCGTCCTGACGGTCTCTCCCCAGCAGCCCACCACGCTAAGCTTGGGCAGAGCCCATCTGCCCTGGGTCCCAGGCATAGGAACGGGCGGCTGCAGCCCCTCCCGCAGGCCTGGCCCAGAGGTGTCTGCGGGCTGACTGACCACAGGGGGAGGGCAGCCGCTCACCTTGCCCTTCTTAGGCGGCTCCATCTTGGTCAGCGCCTCCTTGGTGTGGGCCTCCAGCAGGTCCAGGTTGGGGATGGTGGGCGAGGACGACCCCCTACACTTCTTCCCTTTCTTCTTGCCCCCGTCCTTGAGCTTCAGTGATTTGGGGGGCTTCGGGGGTTTGGGGGGTTTGGGGGGCTTGGGGGCTTTGGATGGCTTGGGCATCTTCATGGCCTTGTGAGTCTTTTTTTTGGTCACTTTCTCCAGGAAGGGCCGAGGAGGGCTGGCCTCAGCGGGCGAGGGAGGCTGCTCCTTCTCGCGGTCCCCAAAGTAGACCGTATTCGAGATCGCGGGAGTCACTTCTGGCCTGGCAGCCTTGGCGGCATTCTGAGGAGAGGAGAGAGGTGCCCAAGCACTCCTGTCAGAAGGCGATCATGGCCCAGGCCAAGGGAGACACTCACGGGAGAGAAGGGGCATGCACTCACACACTGTGTGATACACACACGACACAGCACGTCCCTCTGCACCATCGTGTGGCGTGCCTACATTCATCTACACCATCACCTGTGTGATACACACACGTCCCTCTGCACCGTCGTGTGACGCGCGTGCCTCTATCTATACCATCTGTGCGGCACGTCCACACCATCCATGTGCCACGGCCACATTCATCTAGACGGCAAACTGTGGCTCGCGACCAATGACTTAGACTCTCGAGTCCAGTAATGACAGGCTGTTGTTCCTTGTCCTTAAGCCCTTATCCCAGTGGCCGGCAAACTCATTAGTCAACAGAGCGGCAAACCGCGGCTCGCGAGCTGCATGTGGCTCGCAAGCCGCAGTTTGTTGACAACTGAGCTATACCATCAGCTACCTGATTCCTCTGCCTCCTTGGCGGGTACCCCTGGAGGGCAGAAATCATCCTCCCCCCCCATGGGGACCGCAAAGGAGCCCCATCCCACCCCTCACTCCCTAAACTCCCACCAGGAGATGCAGCAGGGGCCTAGGCGTCCGAGCCCACCTCCCGCAGGCGACCACATGGCCACCCTGCCAGGCGGCCTACCTCGCTGAGCCGGATCTCTCTGGCAAGGTCCTTGATGAGCTGCGAGGGTTTGAAGTGCTCGGGAAGCTCATCTTCATGCTCTGCCAAAGCCTGAGGACGGCAGGCACGGGCAGCGGGTCAGCCGCTGAGTCCGGACAAGGATGCCCACCCTCTGTGCACGCCCCCCTCCCTGCCACCTCCACCCACAGGGGCCCAAGCATGCCCAGCCTCTGATTCCCACCTAACCCTCGGTCCCACCAGGGGCTGGCCACCTTGCCTCCTGGGCCAGGACCCACCACTACCCAGACAGGCATGGGGCAGGGGCTGCCTGCACGGGTCCCAGAGAAATTAACCCGCGAAGCCAGACACTGGCCCGACAAGAACCCTGCCATGACCCCTCAGAGATGGAGGACCTGAGTCCCGAGAGGACGAGGTGCCCAGAGCCGCCACCACTCTGGAGTGACTGTGGGCGCTTCTTCCTGAGCACAAGGCCGCTCCTGGCCCTGCCGCGGCGGGGCGGGAAACCCTGCACTGCTCACTTCCAGCCTGGAGGCCAGAGGCGATGAGGCCACAGGACAGCGCCGGGAGGGCACTGGCCACCCCCCTCCCAGGCCCACCCGTGAGAGAAGTTAGAAGCACCCAGGGGTTCCCCTCCTGGCCCCACCCGCCCTGAGGGCCTGCTCAGACCGTGCTGGCTCCTCTCTGGGAGGCGGACACTGCCAGGGGCACCCAGGCTGCTGGGCCCTCGCTCTGTCCCAACAACCGGACAAGATTCCAAGGGAAGCCTGGGGCTGCTTCTCTGGGGCTGCTGCATAGGAGCTGGTGAAGTGTTAGCATCCAATGTGGGGGCACAGGACAGTGACACTGCGGGGGACGTGGGGTACAGGACAGTGACACTGCGGGGGACATGGGGTACAGGACAGTGACACTGCGGGGGACGTGGGGTACAGGACAGTGACACTGCGGGGGACGTGGGGTACAGGACAGTGACACTGCGGGGGACGTGGGGTACAGGACAGTGACACTGCGGGGGACGTGACACTGCGGGGGACGTGGGGCACAGGACAGCGACACTGCGGGGGACGTGGGGTACAGGACAGCGACACTGCGGGGGACGTGGGGTACAGGACAGTGACACTGCGGGGGACGTGGGGTACAGGACAGTGACACTGCGGGGGACGTGGGGTACAGGACAGTGACACTGCAGGGGACATGGGGTACAGGACAGTGACACTGCGGGGGACGTGGGGTACAGGACAGTGACACTGCGGGGGACGTGGGGGTACAGGACAGTGACACTGCGGGGGACGTGGGGTACAGGACAGTGACACTGCGGGGGACGTGGGGTACAGGACAGTGACACTGCGGGGGACATGGGGTACAGGACAGTGACACTGCAGGGGATGTGGGGGTACAGGACAGTGACACTGCGGGGGACGTGACACTTCGGGGGATGTGGGGTACAGGACAGTGACACTGCGGGGGACGTGGGGTACAGGACAGTGACACTGCGGGGATGTGGAGCCACAGGACAGTGGGGGCCACAGGACAGTGGGGGCCACAGGACAGTGGGGGACATTGCACAGTGCTGCTGCAGGTGGCCTTGGGCAGTCACAGGAGGGAGAGCAAAGCTGGACTGAGCTGAGCCTGGGCCAGGAAGGGCTGAGGGAGTCCCCGCTCTCCCTCCCACAGTGTCACACTGGCCAGCCAGTCGTGGCTGCTCAGAGACCTCCCACTCCCTGGCCTCTCTCCCTGGGTCCACTCAGTGCCGTCTCTACCACCAGCCTTGCCCCCTCCAATCTCTAGGCCGCCCCCTCCACCGCCCACCGCCCACCTCAGACCAGGCTCCAGGAGGAAGGGCGCGCTCCTGCTCCCACACCCCCAGCCAGCCGTCTGACTCGGGCTGCTGGCACCTCCTCCTCTTCAGACACCAGCTCCCCAAAGGCAGATGAGTCCTGGGATGGCTTCCCGCCTGCGCCCTCCCCACTCCGGGCCATGCGAGGCACAGGTCCTACCTGCTTTTTAGTCCATGATCTGAAAGCACCATTGAGAATTTTAGCTCCCTGGACTAAATGAGGGGGCAGCTGCTTCCCGGATTTGTGAGAACCTGGGGAGAGATGGAGAGGTGAGCTCAGGGGGGCGCTGCCCGTCCTCACCTGCTGCCCACAGCGACCTCACAGCCAGGGCGGGCCGGAGGCTCAGGGCTGGACCCTCCAGAGGCCTCCGCCCACTGCCCTCTGCCCAACTGCCAACGGTCCCTCTTAGAACCTGGGGGACATGCACCCAGGACACCCTCCGGCCAGAATGGCCGCTCCGGTCCCCACTCAGGCCTCTCCCACCGGCGGCCGGGCTCTCCCAGGGCCTGGTCCCCGGCCGCCTCACCAGGGGTCAGAGCTGTGCGCACCAAGCATCTGTAGGTGCTTTCTGACTCCCACCCTCATAGCGCCCCTGCACGGCTGAGGGGCAGCAGGGAGGGGCGCCAGTTCCCAAGGGGACCATCACAAAGACGCCCGTGGGGCCGGGGCCAGCCCCACAGAGGAGGGACAGAGCGGCTGCCAGAGAGCCGACGCCACCCGTGACTGTCTGCCTGGCAGGAGCCGCTCCCTCGGGCCTCTGGGCCCGAAGAGCCACGCTCTGACCCTTCCCAGAGGACATGAGGCAGAGCGGCTGGGGGCCCCGCACGGCCCGCTGGCGAGAGTCCTCCGGGGCTGTCAGTCAGTGCCTGCCGTGGCTCCACCACACTCCCCACCCACCTCCCCCCACGCCCCAGGGCACGATGTGCCCTCTGCCAGGATATAGCTCAGAGCTCTGAATTTGGGGCTCAATGGACAAATCCCAGTGAAACCTGGCCGGCTCAGATTGAGAACCATTTGCGGCTTTCTCTCCTGAAAAACTACAGCCGAACCAGAGGGTCCCAACAGGCGGCTCCACTGCGCTCAGCAGAGAAGCCTCCGCAGGCCGTGGCAGCACGGCTCCTCCAGCCCCACGAGGCTGCGGGCCGTCTGTGGGCCCGGGGGTCGGTGCGGCCCTGGCACCCTCGGCCTGGCCTGCGAGGGCCTGGGACTGAGGGCACCCGTCCTCAGAGGTCAGGGTCCGCTGGAGCCCGCCCCTCCCCGTGGGCCCCCACAGGACCTTCCATGCACACCCAGCCCCACGGGCGGGGAGTCCCTCAGCTGGTGGCCCAGGACCAGTCAGACCCCAGGCCTCTGGATGGCCGGACTGAGCCCTGTCCGAATCCACGTGAGGCCACGGCACCACGCAGGCACCCGGGCTGGGAACATGTGGCGGCACTCTCTGAAATGCCAGCCGGCCCTGCCGGCCGGGGTCCAGTCCAGCCCCAGGCACAGACAGGGAGGCCTCGCGGGAGCTGAGGGGCGTGGGTGGCTGCCCGCAGGCAGTGCTCCGTCCGCCCCAGGGTCTGGCCGCCCGCGGGTGTCCCTGAGCTCCACACTCACACAGTGGCCCGGGCTGCCGGCCAAGGCGCCAGGACGTACGTACCTTTGAAAGCCTCCAGCAGGTGCTTTCCCATGTACCAGCAGGCAGTTTCAAAGTTGGGAAACTGAGTCAGGCTGCCCAGTTTCAACCTTCTTTCCACTTCGTATGCTCTGGAAGCCACAGCAAAGAACTATTCAATGCACTGAGCCCCGAGCAGGCGACACTACACAACGCGGGGCCCATGCCACACCCATGGCCAGGCAAGGCCACACAGAGGCCATGCCTGGCCAGGCCTCCCTGCTGGCCCTGGGTGGTGAGGAGAACCAGGGGATCACTTTGGGGCGAGTGCCCAGGGCCCAGCGCCCGTGGGCCGGGCTTCTGGACCTCTGGGTCAGTGCCTGTGGAGAAGGCAGCTCGGCCTTTCAATTCGCTCCAGACCCGCCGTGGGCCACGGAGGCTGTCCAGAACACGAGGCACCTCAAGGGCCCGTCTGTTCCTTCCTCCCACGATCATGGAGGCCCAGCCACTCAGGGGAGGTGGCATCGCACTGCTGGTGGGGACCCTGCCTGGGGGAGCCCCGAGGCAGGTATGGCCCTACCTCATCTGCATCTCCACACTCAGGCTGTGGAGGAAATGTCCCGCGAAGGCCAGGCAGTCCACGGGCGTGAGTGTGGCATAAATCCAGCCTGGGGGAGACAGATGTGGCTAGCCCTCACGGCGTTCTCACGCCAGGCTCTCGGTGGCTGCCGGGCCTGTCTGGCCGGCACGGGCTCTGCCCCTGCCCGCCTGACACCCACGGAAGGAGCTCTGGCCTGGCCTCGTGTACTGAGTGGGTGGGCCCTCCAGGAAGGAGACTGTGTCCGAGCCGGCCCAGTCTGCTCCATCCAGCCCTGAGCAGTGCCGATGGGGAAACCCAGGCCTGGGAGCGGAGGGGACGTGCTCAGACCACCCAGGGTCAGGCTACCCATCATTCCCGACCCCTGCACGCGGGGCAGGAGACCCCGCAGGCTGCCACCTCTCCGTGGAGAGCTGGGCTTCTCCCTACACCATCCTCAGAGATGCAGCCTGGGCCAGACTGGGGGAAGATCTGGCTGTGGGGAACCAGGTGTGTGTGTGGTGGAGGGGGGGACCGAGACCAAGAAAGGCACAGGGGCGGATAAGTCAACCGAAACATGAGGTCTCATCCAAAAATGTGAGCAGCGGCCAGCTATTCGGTGACACTAAGGACTTGTTAGCCATTCCTTTTTAAGGTGCACCGTCATCAAGTCACTTTCAAAAGGAAGCCTTTCAGAGATGGGGAAATATTTACGAGGGAAGCAATATGACACCTATAAAGGGCACTTATTTGCTCACGGCCTGCTTCCTCTTGCTATGTTTGAAATGTCAAGATCAGCAAACACCTCAAACGGCGTGGCCCAGCTCTAGGGCCTTGGCCCGGCTTCTGTGAGCAAAGCCAGGCCGGGGGCTGCTAGGACTCTCGGCTGAGGTGACCCCAGAGGTGACTGTACAGCGGGCCTGCCCCAGGACCAGGCAGCAGACACCCCGCCGTGCGCTCCCAGGGCCGGCCCAGAGGTGGGAATGCGGTCAGGACCGCGCACTCACCGGAGGGGACGAAGAGCGTCTGGCCCTGCTTGAGGGTGCACTTGTAGCATTTGTCTACCTGGTCGGCAAAGAACATCTCGCTGTGGTTCGAGGCCGACTGCCAGCGCTCATACAGGGAGATGTTGGCCGAAGCCGGCTTGATGAGATAGAAGATCTTCTCCCCCTGCCAACGAGAGGCCAGTGACAGCTCGCCACCTGATCCAGAGCCTGCTGCCACCCCGGGGCGCTGGGGCCGGGCAGAACCCTCCATGGCCTGGAGACACCGGGCACCTGGTGCCGGGGCCTGGCCCAGCCTACCCAGCCCCCATTCGGCAAACACCGGCGCCACGTGCTTTAAGTTCAGAAGCCGGTGTGTTTGGAAGGTTCTAGGCACGGAAGTCCCCAACATGTTGGGCACCCTCGCCACCCACACACCATAGCTCCGCAGCAAGAGGGGCACCGTGTGTGCCAAGGGGCCCAGAGCTGTGACCCCCTGGTTTCCTGATTACAGGGAAGCTCTACTTAGAGAGGCTGTGGGGGGATGGGGGGTGGCCCCGGGCGCTGCCAGGCTGGCCAGCCCCACCAGGAGACACAGAGCCCCTCCCTCTGGGGCAGACAGACGGAGGGACACAGGAAGGGACCGGCTCAGTCTGCAGGGACTCGGGCGGAGGAGCTGAACCCAAAGCTCAGGGTCTCCTTTGTTGCTGATTTCCACATCTTCCTTTTCCCCTAGCTTCTCCATCTGCCCCAGCCAGGGGCCCCCACCCCCCCGTCACTCAAACGCACCTAAAGCCCAACTTTAGGATTTGGGAATTCTATAAAACATACACTATTCTCTGGGCAGTGTCTTGTGTCTCACTTCTCTTACAGTGAGGAGGAACTGGTCCTGCAGAACTTGCTATCTAAATGCAGAGGCCATGGACTGCGAACAATGCACTGCCCTGGGCGGGGTGTGTGTGTGTGTGTGTCACAGTGGTGCCAGTATGCACCATCAGATGTGGCCTGACAGCGGGCTTTAGGTGCGTTTCGGGGGGAGGGGGGGGCAGTGGAGCAAGCGCCCTTGTCCCCTCCTCCCAACACTGCTCTCCCTTCCCCGGGTGGGAGTGGCCACTGACCACTCCGCCACCACTCCCTGGGCCTCACTGCCTCACGAGTCCCAGTCTTTAGAGGAAGGTGACGCAGGCCTGCTGCTTTGGTCTTGAGGTGTCCCTGCCCCCACACCTCCAGCAGCAGAAACATCCTGTCCCCTGTCCTTCCCAGGATTCGTGCTGGAGAAGACCGCAGACAGTGACCTGGTCACGGGCAGGCGGCCCCCCGAGGCTCACCTTGAGCACGTGGTACCAGGCAGAGGCGCCCCCCGAGTCGATGTGGAAGTCGGTGTAGCTGTCCTTCACACAGATCAGGCAGTACTTAGTCACCTTGGGCTTGGCCAGCAGCGCGTCATCGGGCCAGTAGTTCTCTACCCAGGACAGCTTCTTCACAATCTCAGGCGGCTCCACGAAGCTGGACATTCTGGGGGCAGGACAGGAAGAGGGGTCAGCGGTGGTGGGAAGTGCACCACGTGTGTTATGCCCTGGACGGGGAGGGAAAGGGGCGCTGAGACACGTCCCACACACATTTCTCTCTTCCGGCTGCACGACCTCGTTCCCATCTTACCGACGCGCAGACTGAGGCTCACAGAAGGCAGAAGGAGCCCGGCCATAGGTGTATAACAAGCATGTGTGCATATGCCAGTCTAACGCTAGCCTCCGGCCCACAGATGGGTGTGCAGAAGGCCGGAGGACCATCCACCCGAAGACAGTTTCGTCCTGGAGACCCAGAAAGGGAGGTCTCCTGGGTTGGTCCACCCTGTGCTGCGTGAGAGGAAGTGTCCTTCTTCAGGCCCAGCCCAGGCTGTTACGCCTGGTCAGGGTAACAGCCACCGATCTCCGGTGCTGACACCGGGAGCCCGATCCCTCTGCACATCGGCCACTATCAGCCCGGCCAGTCACTTCCAGGGAACGTGCAGACCGGTGAAGGCCGCTTCGGTATCAGTTAAACGTCCTGCTTTGGGTAAGATGCCCAGCGATGCATTAGGAATGCCCGGCTCAGCGGCCCCCGTGCAGTGACACCTCAGCTGCCGCAGGGCCCCGTCCTTACTCTCGCTGCCTCGGCAGGATGCAGTCCGCACATCTCTGCATGGAAGGCCGTGCGGCCATACAAGACTATCACAGGCCAGAGGTCAGGCTGCCCTGAGCTCAGTGGCCTCCGTCACTGGCCCTCCTCTTTAAACTGAATCTCTGGCTTCTTCCAAACTAGAATCCCTCCCCATGTCCCATGAGAGCCCTCTTCGCCCATCTCTGCCCGTGCCCACCGCCCGGTCCGCCCACAGACCAGGCGCAGCACTGCCCCAAGGGCGGGGCCCTGCCCCACCAGTCTGGGCGTCAGAACCCTCCATACACCACACACAATAGCGGGCCACTGCCTCCGCCCCACGTGCCCCAAATGTCCTGCTTTTCTTGCTGTCGGCTCCTCAGGTACCAAACCTGCCGCCAATGCCAGTGGGTCCTCAAAGCCCTCAGAAACCCATGGCGCAGGGAAGGCGACACAGGATGCCCTGAATGCAGCCTCAGACAGCCCATGGTTTGCGCCTCCCCCCACCCCCCATTTCAGCCCCAGAAGACATCACTGAGGACAGATTGTCCTGATGAAACAGAGGCCATGCCTCCTCCCTCCTGAATGGTGTGGAACTTAGTCCCAGGGCACTCAGCAGGTCTGGCGCCAAGACCAGGGACAACCTGGTTTGACGTGTACATGTCCCCCACTCTCACCCACTGCCCTTGGACAGGGCCAGAGGACACCAGAAGCCCCGTACATGTTTCTGCCAACAAAGCAGTGGCCATGAGAGGCCCAAGGGGAAACCCAGGCCTAGCTCCTTCCCCCAAATCCTCCCAGTGCCACTCTGTGAGGATCTCTCCGGCCAGAGGCCAATCAGGTTGATGGCAACATGAGTGTGAGCTCTGATACCAAAGCAACCCACTCCTCAGAACTCAGTCTTGGAGAGCATCCTTCTAGTACACACACACACAGATAAGAGACCATTTCCTCCAGATACCGTAACCCATTGTATTTCCCTTTTTGCCTTTGCTGTCAGGAAGCTCAAATTAAACCCACCGTCCAATTACACTATTTTATTATGGCTCCTGGTAGTTCTGTGTTTTGTTTCTCAATGTGGCTTTTGATAACTCTTATTTTTTTCTGTTTTGAGCTATTTTGTTCTTTTGTGGGCTTTCTATGATTAGCAAGGTGGGCATAATGCAAAAATAAAACTGTTCTTAAACCATCATCAGCTCACACCCTGTGGGAGAGAGTGCACTGGGTCTTTCCCAGGAGCCAGCAGGAGAGCAGTGGGTCCGGGGCAAAGGGGGCAGGAGCTGCACAGCGAGGTGGGCACAGCCAAGCAGGTGGAGCTGAGAGAACAGGGTCCTACAAACACAGGGCTGAGCCAGAAGCCGACCAACCTCTGCAAACAGGGTCCTGGAACGAGGTGGGCCCCGACAGCCATGACACCTTGTGTAGGGACCTCGATCCTGAGAATAGCAGCAGGCAGGACAGGGCCCCAACCCAGGGGGGAAAGGGGGCCGGTTTGGGCAGGCAGGAGCAGATTGATCCCATTGTGCTAAAGGTGCTAATTAAATGTGTGAGCAAGTGTGTAATAAGCACGTGTGCATAGGTCAGTGTGGCATAGGGGCGGGTAGGATAATATACACCTGGGTGTGGGTGCGAGAGCGACTGCATAAGTGTGTCAGTGTCAAAGTATGCATGCACACATGTGTGTGTGTGTGTGCGTGCACGCACGTGTGCTAGGATTGTGTTGTGCCTGAGCACACATGTTCTGGAGGGAAGTACTGTTTCCAATGGTTCCCTCTGGGGAGCAGGGTGGGCGGATCAGAGGAGGAGCAGGCATCTCATTCTTTATTTTCTATTTTAAATTGTTCACAATGCATACCTTTCATTCTTTAGAAGAGAAACACAAAAGCATGCTGTGTGGAACTCTCCACACCCTGAGCCTGCCCGGTGCCCCGCCCTGCAGCAGGAGGCCCCGCCCACCCGCTCACCTGGCCCCGCCCACCCGCTCACCTGGTGTCGGAGAACTCCAGGCTGGTGAGGCTGAGGACCCGCCTGCGGCTGGTGCTGTAGTAATAGTCCACAAACTCCTTCAGTTTCATCTTGCAGTCCTTCTGCTTGGTGACATCTGTCACGTCCACGCTCCGCTCTGGGCCTGGGGAGGCAGTGGAGGAGGGTGGGTAGCTCAGGGGTAAATAGCCTGGCTCCCGTGAGGTCCGGTCATGACAAGGCCACTGAGGGGAGGGCTGCCCATTGAGGCTCTGATCTCTGCTGCCCAACCCTTCCACCCTGCCCCGCCACTGCCCCAGGCTGTTTGGAGGACCCCTTGGTGCTGCAGGGTGGCAGAGTCACCAGCCTCAGCTAAGGTGGCCACATCAGCAAAGAAAAACATCGGATTCCAGGTGAATTTGAACCCGAGATAAGTAATAAAGACACGTTCAGTATATATCCCAAATAAGGCATGGCACACACTTATATTTTAAACATTAAAAACAAACAAAAACAAACAAAAAACTTCTGTGTTCTAGGGTACCAACTAATGATTCGGAAAATTGATAAACAGAAGGAAAACATTTATCCCATGGCTGGTGAGGGAAAGAAAGCTTGGCACGAGTCCCCATGGAGGGAAATTCTTTGTATGAGACTCACCAAGGCTAGAGGGAGAAAGGACAGGATTAGCCAATCCCCACCGCCCTCCGCAGCTCTCAGACCTCCAGCCGAGAGGCTGACGGAAGTGTCTGCGGACAGATGTGGCTGCTCTGCCTGCATCACTGCCTACCAGTGGGCGCGGCACCGCAGGCCTCCGCTGAAGGAAGCACCCCTGCTGGGAAGGGTGCTGCCCACAACCTGAGTGCCAGCTTCTCACCACGTGGTGCTGGGACCTGGAGGCAGGAACATGCTGCATGCTACAGGGAGGCCGTGGGCATCTTCTGGGACCAACACCCCCATTCTTCCACCAGGAGGAGGGGAGGGAGGGGCTGGCCTAAAAGCACCTGGACTTGGAGGACGGAACAGCCCAGTGCAGGGTGTGCTCTTGTGTGGACTCTCCCTCAAACAGCCAGGCTTAAAAGGGTCAGGAGGCTACAGGCGAGAACCGCGGTGGGTCTGAGGGCAGGAAGGAATTGTCGCTTGTGTTCTAGAGTGCAAGAACAGCACTGTGGTGGCACTTTTAAAACACGGTCTGTTAGAACTGTGCGCCGGAGCTGTCATGGTGACATAATTGATGTACCAGAGTTTCGCTTCAAAAATACTTGGGGAAAGGGGAAGTAGAAGAGACAGAAAAACAGTTGAAAGTCGATGGTTTTTGTGGTCAGTGCTGGGCACATGGGGGCTCCGGATGACTCCTCTCGTTTTTTGTAGTAAAAGTTCCAGAATAAAACAGGAGGGGAAGGAGAGACATTTACAGGAAAAGCCTGAGACCATCTCCCCCTGCAGCAGGGGGTGGTGCAGGGGCAGGGCTTAGGCAGACGCAAATCCGGGGCCTGGAGGACAGAGCTGTGGGGCTCTTACATGGAAAGAGTCTAAAAAACAGTGCGCCCTTGGGAGGCACCCACCACATGCTGGCTGTTCTCCCGGGGGCTCTCTCAGGCCCAGACAGTGGCCATGGCCGAGCTGCCAGAGTGAGCCCGCCCTCTCTGCCACCAGCTGGCCAGCCCTGGGGGCCCCAGCTCCAGAGAAGCCAGGCGATCCCATTTCGTCTCCAGGCCAATCCCCACTGCAGGCTTCGCAGATGCAGAGGGTTAGGCTCTGGGCAATGGAGCAACTCCTCTGCCGTCTCAGTACCTGTGCCCTCACCTGCCCAGCATGTGGCCAGCGCCGGCCTGGGGATCTGCCATTACAGAGGATCTTTTCTTTCCTCCACTGGCCATACAGGCATCCCTGTGAACATGCTGAGCTCTGGCACCCACAGGAGGCCCAGAGCCAGGGCGGCGTTGCGGTCAATGCCAGGCGTGCGCTGGCCTCTCCATGCCAGCTGCCTCAGGGACAACGCCTCCGCACACACAGGCACCTCCCTCCACCCAGAGGTGTCCTGCCTGAGGGTGTCTACATGCTGGGAACTGCGGGGGGGACATGAAGCTATTTGCAAACAGCATCAGCTGAATCCCAGAGGGACCCAGGAGCGAGGGTCATGGGTCATGGGAAGGTTTGTCCTGGGGCACGTGAGTGAGGCAGCCACCAGGAGAAGCTGGGAACAAAGCACAGCCTCAGAAGTGTCCCGTCCTGACTGAGCCTCCTGGCGTGACTGCCATTCGAACCGAGCGTAAGAGAACTGGCAGCTGGTAGAACCCAGGAGTCTCCAAGGCAGACCCCACTTTACAGCTGGAGTAAGTGAGCAGGGACATTTCTAGAAGCTCCCGGAACCGAGAACAGAGACCCGAGTCACACTCACTCACACGGTACAGGGACACAGCCAGGGCTCCTGGCCAGCAGGCCCGGGTGCCCGCAGCCACATGAACGGGGTGGGGGGAACTTACCCACGTAGTTCTCGACATCGCTGACATAGAAGGTGGGGGCCGGCACCGCCAGGCCCAGCCCGTCTTTCTTGGGAACAAGAATGGGCTCCGTGAAGCCATGCTCCTCCATGTAGCCCAGCGTGAGCTGGCTGCCGGGCACGCGGGCCACGACGTCTTCCGCACTGCGGGGAAGTGCAGGTCAGAGGTCACATCAGACCAGGTCCAGCCTCCCTGCACCCTGACCGGCCTGGACAGGGCCTTCGGGCTGGAGACATAAGGCTCGCACTACTACCCCCCATCTCCCATAGCCCCAAGTAGAGAACTCCCCACAGAACCAGGCCCAGGTCACAGGGCAGCCACAGGAGGGTCCTACATACTCCTCATAGATGGAAGCCTCAAGGTCTGGGAGGCCTGGCAGGGGTGAGATGAGCGGTGAGTGGGGGTTGGGCCACATCACACCCATCCCTCCTACCAAGGCCAAGGTCCTCCCCTCCCTCCCTGTCTCCTAGCTCCCTGCCCCAAGCCCCTTAATGGGTGAGCAGACCTTGCACAGGGTGAGTATGGGGTCTGAGGACACAGCAGATGGAGACAAAGCCCTTCTCAATGATAAAGCAACACACAGGTTCCACATGTTCCCTATCAAAACACTAGCTGACATCTTTGCAGAAATTGACAAGATAAACTTGGAATGTTGAATGGAAATGCAAGGTACCCAGATGACCAAAATAGTCTTTAAAAAGAACAACAAAATTGAAAGACACTTCTCAACTTCAAAATTCACTACAACGCTACAGTATTCAAGACTGTGTGGTACAGGCATAGCAAGAATCCAAAAATAAATCCAAAAATCTATGGTCAACTGCTTTTCATTAAGGTTCCAATAGAGAAAAAATAGTAATTTCGATAAATTCTATATGGTAGATCTGGATATTCACATGCAAAAGAATAAAGTTAGACTCCTACCCCATAACATATACAAAAGTTAATTCAAAATGAGTCAAAGACTTAAACATAAAAGCTAAGACCATAAAATTTTTAGAAGAAAACACAGACATAAATCTTCATGATTTTGAACTTAGCACTGATTTCTTAGATTAGACACCAAAAGCATAAACAACAAAAGAAAAAATAGGTAAATTAGACTTCATCATAATTATAAATTTTTGTGCTTCAAAGGAACACTATCAAGAAAGTGGAAAGACAACCAGAGGATGAGAGAAAGTATTTGATAAATGATGAGTATCTAGAATATGTAAAGGACTCTTACAACTCAACCATAAAGACAATACAACCAATGGGAGGGGTTAAAATGACATGGAACCAGACTTATGGTTTCAAGCATCACATGTAAAGAGCCTGGAAGTTGTCACTCCTGTTCTCACAAGAAAAAAAAGGTGAACAAAGTGAAAACCAAAGACTTCTCTTATATTCATCAGGTACTCGAGGCTACAGGGAAAATAGTCACCCCAAAATATGGAGACAGGCAAGTACAGAAAATCACTGCCAAGATAACCTTGCCTGAAGCAGAAGCAGAGGCAGTAACTGGTGGGGGAACTTTTGACCAAGTGTGGAACTCGAGGGTGGACTAGCTTAACAGTTAAAAACTCATAGGGGCCCCGTCTCAGAGAAGACCCACACTTCCATGGATTTTACCTCCAGAAATTCTAGCAGGCTCTCATAATGAGAGCTGCTCCTGTTTCAGGCAGAGGGCGGGTAATGTGTCTGAATACGCTCAGAGTATTCTCCATAATGAAGTTTGCCTCCAGGAGAACTTTACCAGATCCTTATCTGACAGGAGAGGGGCAGGTGGCCTCACAGCCTTCCTTCTCCAGTGAGCAGAGAAAAGAAAAGGCCAAGAAATACTTCTGAAGGAGACATCCCAGAGCCTCAGGCCCACTGAAACATTGAACTTTAGTCATTAAATTACAGAACACGTCCCCCTCCCAAACTTTACCACCATATAACAGTTAATATAGTCGAGAGAGCTGTAAGATACAGGCTATTTCAGGAGTTTTTAAGGAAACCCAAAGGAAACAAAACTGGAAATAAAGGCACAAGAAAACTAGAAGGAAGTGATGCCTCTGACACCCACAACTACAGCTAACACTGACCCAGCTCCCAATCAGGTCTATTTAAACCTCACACCACATCCCTAATTATAACACCTCAGGTTTCAACAAAATATTACAGGGCACAATAAAAGGCAAGAAACGAACCAAATCAAGAATCAGAACAAGACTCAGATAAAGCACAGTATTTGGAATTACCAGAGAGGAAAGTTAAAATAATTATAATTAATATGTTAGGAGAGCCAACAGAAAACATGGAGGATATGCAAGAACAGATGGTAATGTAAACAGAGATATGGAAACTCTAAAAATCAAAAGGAAATCTAAAAGTAAAGAAAACAACCAGCAGAAATGAGGGATGCATGCATCAGTAAACTGGACACAGCTGCAGAAAGAATCTGTAAGCTTGAAGTATGCCAAAAATATTTCTCAACCTGAAAGGCAAAGAGATAAAAAAAAAATGGGGATACAAAATATCCAAGAAATGTTGAATAATTATAAATAGAGTAATATATGCATGATGGGAATACCTAAAAAAGAAAAGAAATAAATGTTTGAAATAATAATAGCTGAGTATTTTCCAAAATTAATGACGGACATAACCACAGATCCAGAAAGCTCAGACAGCACCATCAAACAGCATAAACACAAATACACAATACTCTCGCTGACAGAATGAATGAATGAATATAAAACTTCACTTAGACATGGTATATTCAAACTGCAGAAATCAAAGACAAAGAAAATATCTTGAAGAAAGCCAGGTGAGAGAGATCAACTTCTGCATGAGCTCGGCTGACCTGAACCCTAGTGAAATGATGAAAACTTTTAAAAATTACTCAAAGCCTCTGGAATTGGCCCTAAGAGCAAACAGCAAAAGAGGAACATCTGTGCAAGAAAAATCTATGAAAGCTTAGTACAAAATGATAAGATTATGTGATATTTGGCCCAAAACATGCCTTGCCTACACTATCCCAGCTCCGTAAGAAGCAGCTCCTCTCTGCAAGGCTGCAGCCAAGGACACAGAAATGCTGAGTGAAAACTCTCATGGTCCCAGGCTCTCTTCTTGAGCAGATATCCACCTTTCTTATTCCCCCCAGCTGCCTGTTGCTGAGACTAAGTCCTAGGCAAACAGTGGGGGCTCCCTTCTTCCACCGAGCCCACACCTGTGGGGCTGAGGCTCTGCCCAGTGTGGGCCAACCTGGGAATGCTGGGGTCCTGATCACCCTTACCTGGCCATTTCTGCTTGGCTTTCTACTGGAGGTCCTGACCAAAGAAAATAAGCAAGAAAAAAAGTAAAAGTATTTGAAAAAGGGAGAAGTAACATTATCTATTTAAAGAGGATATGATCTTGTGTATATATAAAACACACACACACACACACACACACAATACAAGGAATCTATTAAAAACATCAGAATGAAAAAACTAGCTCTTCAAGGTTGCAGGGTATAAGCTCAATAATAACAATCAATTGTATTTCAGTATAGTAGCAATCTGAAAATAAAATTAAGAAAACACATTTACAAGTATATTAAAAGAATAAATTATTTAGGAATAAATTTAACAAAGGAAGTGCAAAATTATACAATGAAAACTATAAAATATTGTTGAAAGTAATTTAAAAGATCTCAATAGATGGAAACATATCTCATATTCATGAGGTCAGAAGACATAACATGGTTAAGATGGCAATACTCTGATTCTACTGGTCCATGGATTTAACACAATCTACATCAGAGTCTCAGATGACCTCTTTGTAGAAACTGACAAGCTGACCCTAAAATTCATATGGAACTGCAAGAGACAAAAATGAGCACAACGATCTTGGAAAAGAAAAACAAAATTGGAGGCCTCACACTTCTCAACTTCAACACTGACTGTAAAGCTACAAAGCTAAGCAATCAAGACATTCGAAGACTGGACTAAGGATAAACAGAGATCAGTGGGATAGAATGAAGTCTCCAGAAATAAGTGCATACATCGATGGCTGAGAGACTTTCGATAAGTGTGCCAAGACCATCAAATAGTAAAAGAATTGTCTTTTTCAACAAATAGTGCAGGGACAAATAGGTAGCTGCCAGCAAACAAGAAAAATGAAGTTGGATCCTTACCTCACACTACATGCAAAAATTAACTGAAAAACAAAGACCAAACTGTAAGACCTAAAACTATAAAACTCTTAAAAGAAAACATGGGAATAAATCCTCATGACCTTGAATTTGGCAAAGAATTTTTAAATATGACAATAAAATCACACACACACACAAAAAAAAAAAAAAAAACAAAGGAAAAGATAGAAAAATTAGACTTCACCAAAATGACCAAAGTTTTTGCTTCAAAGGACACCATCAAGAAAAATAAAAAGTCAACCCACAAAATAGCATAAAGTATTCAGAAATCACCTATCTGGTAAAGGACTTATATATCAATATAAGAACTTTTAGAACTCTATAATAAAGACAAAAATAATTTAAATGGATAGAAAATCTGAACTAACATTTCTCCAAAGAAGATATACAAATGACCAAAAAATACTTGAAAAGATGCTCAACATCAGTAGTGATTAAGGCAATGAAAATCAAAACCACACGAGAGAACACTTCTTACCTACCAGGATGATTAAAATCAAAAGTCAGATAATAAAGTGTGGTCAGGCCCTGGCTGGTGAAGCATCCTCCTGTATACCAGATAGTGAGGGGTTTAATTACAGCTCAGGGGACATGCCCAGATTGTGGGTTTGGTCCCCGGTGGTTGGGGTTCAGATGGGAAGCAAGTGATCAAAGTTTCTTTCTCACATCAATGTTCTCCTCTCTCTTTCCTTTACTTTCTTTCTTTTCTCTCTCAACTCAATAAAAAACATGTCCTCGAGTGAGAATTGAAAAACATTTCATAAAAAGTGCTGGAATGGGAGAAACCAAGATGGCGGCAAAGATAAACAACTAAATCATTGCCTTACACAACAATTTCAAAACTACAACTAAAAGACAAAACGTCTAACACCCAGAACCACAGGAGAGCTGGCTAAATGGAAGTCTTACAACTAGAAGGAAAGAGAAAGGAGCACAAGTGCTGAAAAGCACACAAATCAGGCTGGTGGCGGGCGAGTAGATGTGCGGCTTTTTTTCAACCCGAAGGGAGACAAGCTCCCGATTACTCTGAAATCCATAGGGGACCCAGACGCCTATGGAGAAAAGTTGGTTTGTTGGCCATCAGGTTAGAAAGCGAAGGTGACTTTTTTGCAGAAGTGTACACAGCAATCACTGTTTATTGCGCTGCAGTGCAGGGACACGGGGACTTGGAAATGCGGAAAGGCAGAGATGGCTGATGGCAGCCATCGCTGTTTGCCACACTCCAGCCTAGTGACACCCTAAGGCCCGCCCCACACACTCTACAAACCCTCCCAGGCTCCACACAGTGGCTTTTGCATATAAATGGCCTGCCCAGTAGAAGCTTAACCAAACTAATTGCAACTCCAGTCAGACTGCTCCAAAACCACCAAATCCCAAAGAAAGAGGAGAAAACTGTAGTTCTTCTTCTTCTTTTTTTTTTAAAATATATTTTATTGATTTTTTACAGAGAGGAAGGGAGAGGGACAGAGAGCTAGAAACATCGATGAGAGAGAAACATCGACCAACTGCCTCTTGCACACCCCCTACTGAGGATGTGCCCGCAACCAATGTACATGCCCTTGTCCGGAATCGAACCTGGGACCTTTCAGTCTGCAGACCGACGCTCTACCACTGAGCCAAACTGGTTTCGGCAAAACTGTAGTTCTTGCTGTAGCTCCTGATGGTTGGCCTCAGATAGTAGCTGACCTGCACCCCGTTGGAGATCCAGAAACTAGTGTATCTAGTGGTTTATCTGAGACGACGCCAGATTTCAACTACTCTCATAAGGGACACTTCAAGAGGCAAACTCAGTGAGCAAAAAAGCGCTACTGGAACAAGTCCTGTTCCATAAATGTGTCTCCAGCACAGCAATTCTTCCGTTATAGACACAGCAGGTCCTCACAGCCAATTGTCCTGGAGAGCAATTCCTCCCAGTGACACCAACAATAATCAAGTCTTAACTACAACAAGACTGTACACACAGTCCACAAAGGGGTACACCAAGAGTGTCAGGTAACTGGGAGGCTGACCCAGTGAACCATATAGGACACCCAGCACACAAAGCTACTCTACCAACTCAGGGAAGCAGTGAAAATGAGGAGACAAGGAAACAGATCACAAATGAAAGAAATGGAGGAGAACCAACAACTGAGTTCAAAACCACAGTTATAAGATTTTTCAAGAATTTCCTAGAAAAGGTCAATAAATTTAACAAGACCCTCGAGGATATGAAAAAGGACCAATTAGAAATTAAACATACACTGACTGAAATAAAAAAAATATTATACAGAGACCCAACAGCAGACTAGAGGAATGCAAGAATCAAGTCAGAGATTTGGGATACAAAGAGGCAAAGGACACTCCTCCAGAGAAGTAAGAAGAGAAGAGAATCCAGAAAGTTGAAGATAGTGTAAGAAGCCTCTGGGACAACTTCAAACAAACTAACATCAGAATAATGGGGGAGCCAGAAGAAGAGAGAGAGCAAGACAGTGAAAACCTATTTGAATAAATAATGACCAAAAACTTTCCCAAACGGTAAAAGAAATAGACTTACAAGTCCAGGAAGTGCACAGAACCCCAAACAAAAGAAATCCAAAGAGGACCACACCAAAACACATCGTAATTAAAATGCCAAGGGCAAAAGACAAAGAAAGAATCTTACAAGCAGCAAGAGAAAAAGTTAGTTACCTAGAAGGGAGCACCCATACGATTATCAGCTGATTTCTCAACAGAAACTATGCAGGCCAGATGGGAGTGGCAAGAAATATTCAAAGTGATGAATAGCAAAAACCTACAACCAAGATTACTCTACCCAGCAAAGTTATCATTCAGAATTGAAGGGCAGAGAAAGAGCTTCACAGATAAAAAAAGCTAAAGGAGTTCATTACCACCAAACCAGTATTATATGAAATGCTGAAAGATATTCTTTAAAAAGAGGAAAAAGAGGAAAAAAAGTGAAGATAAAAATTATGAACAACAAATACATATCTATCAACAAATGAATCTAAACGTCAAGTGAATTAAAAATCTGAGGAACAGAATAAACTGGTGAATAAAATAGAATCAGGGACATAAAATGGGAGGGAATTGATAATTCTCAGGGGGAAAGAGGTGTCTGTGTGGGGGGTACAGGAAGAGACTAGACAAAAATCACCTATGAATGAGGACAGCGGGGGGGGGGAGGGGGGGGAGGTAAGGGCAGAGGGTGGGGTGGGAACCGGGTGGAGGGGAGCAAAGGGAGGAAAAAAAGGAGAAACAATTGTAATAATTTGATCATTAAAGATTTATTAAATTTTAAAAAATCAATTAACCATAGATATATGAAAAAAAAAAAAAAAGTGCTGGTGAGGACATTGGGAGACTGGAGCCCTCATACTCTGCTGATAGGAATGGAAAGTGCTGCAATCATTATGGAAAACAGCCTGGAAGTTCCTCAAATAATTACATATAGAGTTACTCCTAAAATATGAAAACATATGTCCACACAAAAACTTGTTCAAGAATGATTATAACAACAACAAAAAGAATGGTTATAACAGAATTATTCACAGTACCCCCAAATCAGAAATAACCCAAATGTCTGTCAACTGCTAAATGAATCAACAAAATGTGGCCTGTCCATATACTATCCATATATTCTGCCACAAAAAAACGATGAAGTGCTGGTGCATGCTATGACATGGGTGAACCTTGAGGATATTACGCTGAGTGAAAGAGGCCAGACACGGACGGCCACATATTGTATGACTCCACTCAGATGAAATGTTCATAACCGGCAAATCCACAGAGGCAGAAGGCAGATCAGTGGCTGCTTGGGGCGGGACGGGGGAGCAGGGATGGGAGTGATAGTTACAGATTTCTCTGGGTGATAAAATGTTCTAAAATTGATTGATGGTGGTGCACATATCTGTGAACATACCCAAGATAACTGAACCCTTTAAATGGGTTCATATATGAACTATATCTCCACAAATGAGGGAGGGAAAACAGAGGACCAAGGAAAGAACTGCACTGGGTTCTCATTGGAAACCGCACGTGAAAAGGAAAGTGGGATTGCCGAACAACACCGCCGCCCAGGGTGAAGGCTGAGGAGTGGCTCCGAGCAGGTCCTATGTCCCCACGCCCCTTTCTCACCCCGGGCCCTGCCCCTGCCCGCTGCCCTCACACAGGCCGGGTGTGGAGCACAGGGAGGGCTACAAGAGCACTAGGAGCACCAGGGACACCTACTGACCTAGGACCAGGGCCTGCCACATCTGGAGAACGATCTTAGCTGGACCCTCGCCCACTCCTCTCCCCTAAGAATGCCCCTTGGGAGGACACACCTGGTGGGGACAAGGGTCTCTTGTCTCCCGCACTGTGACCAGAGGTTCTGAGAAAGAGAGAGTTCCAGGGAGCTATCCTCTGCCCTAGAGGCAGGCCCTCAGCTCCTGAGTCCCGGTGGGGTGCGCGCTGGCCTGGGAGCGGGCAGTGGCAGGGTCTGCTGCCCACCTGGGAAAGGTCCGACTCCGTAGCTCCTTGATGAAGAGCTGGCTGCCATTCTGCACGGGTTTCACGTCAGGCGTCTGCCCCAGGCTGTGTTTGTGCCAGGTCCGCTTCTTCTTCACTGCAGGGAACACGGGGTGGGTCAGCACCCCACACAGGCCCCGCCCTGCACCCCCTCACCTGCCACCCCTCCAGAGACCAGCCACGAGGGCAGCCAAGGAGTCTCGATTGCAGCCAGACTGAACCCTCCTCAGGCAAAGCCCTCAGGGTCCCTGGGCCCGGCCCACCCAGCTCCCACACCCCCATTACCCTGGGTCGTCACATGGTCAGGAGCTCTCACCATCCCCGGCCTCTGGTTCTACACCCACCCTACTCCCATTTCATACCCCCCAGCCTTGTAGCTCAGTTGATGGCACCCAGAAGCTGGGGCCTCCCAGGAGCCCTCCCTACTCAGCACCCAGTTGTGAGAGTCATCTCCTGAGAAGGTCCCACCAAGGTCGGCCTTCAGGACACCCCTCTTCCCTGAACTTGTCTTCAAATAGCCCAGACCCTGTCACCACCCTGCTGGGACCTTCCTGTCTCTGCAGCCCACAGCTCACAGACAAGAGCCCACCAGCTGCTGTGCCCTCTGCCCTCTCCAGCCCCGGGCTGTGCCCACCTCACACACTTCTGCATAGCCACCCCTGCCCACGTCACCTACACGCTCCCTCAGGCAGCTGTCCTCATGCATGCTCCCAGGGCACTGGTGCACACACCTTGGATTTTTTACACATGAGCGTGTGCACACACCCTGCTGACTACGACACATGTGCACTCATGCATGCATGCATGCACATGCATGTACACACACCGTACTGGACTGTGAGCACCTAGGGAGGGAAGTGACTTCCTTGTGGCCCTGGCCCCTGGTTCAGGGCAGTCACAGGTAACTCGGTGAGTGAGGAGGACCTGTTCCTTAGAACTGCCAGGGGGTGAGGGGGGTCTGAGAGAGGTTGACACTCAGAGGAAATGAGACTGGATATGATGGGAGGGTCCTCGGGGTGCCTGTCCCTCCCAGCTGCAGGGTGAGCCTCTGTGAGGCAGTGTGGTCCCAGAGCAGCCCCACCTCAGGGGAGAGGTCGAGGCTAGAGCCATGCCAGGTCTCCCCCAGGACGGTATGCAGAGCCCAGTGCACACTGCCTGGCACTGAGTACCTCATCCTGGGGACCACGTGGGAAAACTGAGCCTTGGGGCGAGGGTGGGGCACGGGGCCAGTGACAGGGGTGCAGTGGACAGAAGGAGAAAGAAGCAGCACCTCCATTGTCCCCAGAAGCCGGGCCTGAGAAGCAGGTGCCGACTGGCCAGTCCGGACCACCTGGCCTTCTAGACCCTCACCCAGAACCAGCAGCTCGCCACCCCACGGAGAGAGCCTGCTGAGGCGGCGGCTGGAGCAGGTGGGCTGGGACAGCACGACCTCGTTCTGCAGGCTCCCCTGGGGCTGAGTCCTCCTACCTGTGGCCCCCAGCACCCCTCTCCGGCAACGCACACCCCGGAGACAGCTGCTGAGCGGGGCACCTGGAGTGTGGGGGCCGCACCCCACCTCGTTGGGCATGACAGCGTCCTCAGAGAGGATCAAAGGGAGAAGTCAGTGAGTGAAGGAACCTCCTAAGCAGTCACAGAGCTAAAGAGAGACAAAGCGGGGTCAGAGCCCCTTTGAGGATATGCCACCTGCTTTCCATGAGCCTTCGTGTCAACTGTCAGTGGGGACTTCTTGCTGGGTTCCCATGGGGACTGGGCCCTGCACCGGATCTACCTGTGGGCTCTCCGTCCTCACCGTGGCACGCCTGCTAAAGCCCACCCAGAGAAGGGAAGGAGGCAGCCTGGCCTAAGAGGGCCTGCACGCAGCCCACAGGTTTGGGGGCTCCCCTGGAAACACAGTGACATAAAGGGCCATCTTGTCCCCAAGGGGCCTTTGTGGAAGCTGTGACTGAGTTGATGTGGTAAACACCAACTGGTGTGTCACTGACAGGCTCCAGGCAGAGCAGGGACTCAGTTCAAATGAAGAATGACCACCAATCTGGAGTGCATGCTAGAGGAAGGTGCTAGAACCTTTGCCCCTGATAGCATATGGCCACCAATAACAGCAGACAGGGAAAGCATATATGCATATTTGCATAAACATGCAAATACTTGTGCACACACATTCACTCATATACATGAGCACATACATGCACACACATACACTACCCTCCATATACACATGCACAACTAAGGAGGGGCTACTGGGTCCCACCAGGCTGTCCCAGCATGCCCTGGGGGTGGATGGCTGTAAGTGCCAGGAAAAGGTGCCTGCCCTTGACTTCCAATGGCAATAACAGGCAGCTGGGGACCACCCAGCCTCTGCCCAAACCCAGGAGCACAGGCCTGGGGGCTGGGTGAGGCAGCACATATAGCTCCGGCAGCAGGGAAGGGTGCTGCTGGGGACCCTCAGGGGCACTGGAGAAACTGCACTGTTGTGCACACCAACACCCACTTCGAACTCTGCGATAGCCCAATCCCAGCGCCCCCTTTCATGCAATAGCTCACGAACCACACAGAGGTGGCCCACCCTCCCTGAGCCCCCTAAGTCTGTGCCTCCCCAGGACACTGGGCTCTGTTGGGGGGTCAGTAGAGGTTTCTGATCCAGCCCTGCTTTGTCCCTGGCTCTGTTCCCATGATCACGTGGTACACCCCTCCTGCCCAAGTCCCCACGCTGTTCACCTTTCCTAAGCCCTAAGCCTTCCCAGTGGCTCCAGAGGAGCCAGAAATGCCACCCGTTAGCCCATGGGATGGCAGTCATCTCCTGTATCGGCTGGAAAGCAGTGGGTGGTGAGACAAAAGATAGCTAATTAGAGCAGACACCAGCGCTGCCCAGGCCTCAGGGTACGGGGGGAGGTTGGAAATGGCAAACTTTCCTGCTTCAGGACAGCAGGGCTGTGACCTGCCACCAGCCAAGGCCAGGGTCCAGCCTACACCTTCTGTGAGCAGCCTGACCCAGGCTGGAAAGCAGAGGCCACACCGACACCCCATGCCATCTGTCTCATTTCCAGGCCGGCCCTCCTGTGGTCCCTGTAGACCACAGCATCTCATTCCCCAGAGAGGTTAGCTTGGGGACTTGCCTTTCAGCCGTGACAGGGGCACCCTGGGGAGCCCCCAAAGGAACTGCCACACCCAAAGAAACCAGAAGAAGGCAGGGATAAAACCCGTGGCAAACAGCAGGCGGTTTGGGAAAGGAAATCACCTAAGATTCCCTGCAGGGGCGGAGAAGGGACGTAGAGCAGATTCCCATGATGCAAATGTCAAGACCCCAGCAAGGTGGAGGCCATCGGGGCAGGGCTGGGCTGCAGAGCCCCTTAGACAGGCCTGCATCGTGTCGCTGTCTCAGAGGAGCGTAGCCCCTGCAGGTGCTGAAGTCTGTGCCCCCTGCTGAGGCCTTTGGGAGCAGATGGAGTCTCTGCACAGCAGCTGTGAGGGCAGGAGCCGACCAGGAGGGGCTGCGTGGGCTGGGCAAGGCTGTACAGGTTGGAAAAGGAGGCCAGAGGAGGTCCCCAAGCAAGCAGGTCAGGAGGCCATCAGAGCCTGGTGAGGCGCACGGTGCAGTACTTACAAGTCGACTTCCCGTGTGTTTTCTCGCAGTTGGGGCAGTGGTATATGTCAATGTCTGGGGCCTCCTCCTCTTCCACGCCAACACAGCTGAAACGCAGGAAACAGTATCACTGGCGGGCAGCACCCCATGAACGCTTCCCTGCACAGCTCCCAGGCAGCTCTTGCTCACCTCTTGGGAGGGCCAGGGCAGTGTGTGCACAGAGGGGGCAGACTGTTGTTTGGACAAGTCAGGGGTCAAGGAGGAGGGAAGGAGGGGCAAGGGAGGCCTCACCGATGCATGACCAGGACAGGGGAGGAACCAGGGGCCAGTAGGCCCCTCCGGAAAGCTGTCCCTGCCCTGTCACCATAGAGCTCAGGGGTCACTTCACTGGGGCAGCTCAGAGCCATCGACAAGGTCCCTCAGAACCCCATGGGGGACCGCCATAAATCTCCCAGGGGCCAGCACGGGGACAACCGATAGCAACGGGTGATGCTCAACTCCTATCTTACACCCTCCAAAAAAGTTAGCTGAAAATGGGTTAATCACCTAAATGCAAAAGCTACAGCTGTAATACTCTTAGAAGAAAGCACAGAGGTAAGTCAGTCTCCATAGCCTTGGATTTGGTCATGGACTCCTAGATATGACACCAAAAGCACAGCAACAACAAAAATAAACTGGATGTCATCGAAATTAAAGGACGCTAGCAAGAAAGTGAAAAGCAACATACAGAATGGGAGAAAATATTTTCAAATCATACATCTGATAAGGGTCTACATCCAGAATATATAAAGAATTTATAACTCAACCACAAAACAACTAAAAAGCAAGCAAAGGACTTGAATACACATTTCCCCAAAATGAGATACAAATGGCCAAAAAGGTCACGAGTAAGTCAACATCCTTAGTCATCTATATGCCTCTGACATGCACACCAAAGCATGCCCACTAGGACGGCTACAGTTTTAAGAAGAAAAAGAAAAAAATGGGAAACTACCAATGTGGCAAGGATATGGAGAAGTTATAACCCTCTTACAAATGTAAAATGGTGTGGTTTCTATGGAAACTGTATGGTGGTTCCTCAAAAAAGTTAAAGATAGGGTTACCATATGACCCAGCAATTCCACTTCCAGGTATACACCCGAAAGAACGGAGACCGGTCTCAAATCCTTTGCACAAGCGTTCACAGCAGCATCAGTCACAATAACCAAAAGATGGGAGCAGCCCTGTCCATTGACTGGTAAATGGGTAAACAAATTGTGGGGTGTCTATACAATGGAATATTATTCAACCTTAAAAAGGATTAGAGGGGCTGACACTTGCTACAACATGAAGAACCTCAAAAAAAGTATGTTGAGTTAAAAAAAAAAGCCAGGCATAAAAGGCTACATATTGTAGGATCCCACTTATATTATATGAAATACCCGTATGAGACAGAAGACTGGCTGGTGGTTCTGGGGGCCGGGGGCCGGGGAAAAGGACGTGACTGTTTAGTGGGATGAAATGTTTTGGAACAGGCAGAGAAGGTGGTTGCACCCCCTCTGGAACGTGCTGAAATGTTCACTTCAAATGGTTGGCTCTGGGAGTGACACCGCCCTCTCGGCACCACCGCAAACCCGGCGTCGCTGATGCTGGCTGGCTGCTCCCTCTGCAGCGGGCGCTTACTGCAGTAACGGGGTGACTGCTCTAGCCCTACTGTACAACGGGGAAGCCGAGGCACGAGGGGTCAGACGGCTGCCCAGACCCAAAGGTCTCTCTCCTCACGGTTCAATGGGCCGGCACTCAGCAGACAGGCCCACGGCACGGGACCACGGCCACACCCACAGCTGGGAGCACCCTGGGGCCCAGAAGCACCTGGGCACCTGCTTTTGAAAACACTAAGTCCACTGTTCCTCCCAGAACGTAAACCGAAATAAAGTGCGAGCAGGCTGAAGAGCTGACCGGGGAGCTCTCTCCGCGCAGGTAACTTCCTAACATACAAAAGTGGGAAAGGAAATCGAAGAGAATACTCATGGATTGAAAGTGCTCCCGATCATGAACGCAAACTTTCAAGGGCAAAAATATAAACATTTACAACAAACACAGCACGTGCTCCTACCCTTCCCGCAGGGACGAAGGGCCCCTCCCCACAGAAGACCCGGGCAGAGCCAGGGCAGAACGGGCACCGGCTGCCGTGGAGCAGGCGCCCTCGCCAACCCACGGGACGCGCTCGCAATCGCACCACACGGTTTCCCCTCACAAACTGCCACAACCAAATCCATCACATCGGTGACACCAGGGTGGCGAGGGCACAGGGAGGAGGGAGCTGCAGCCAGGCCACTGTGCTGGTCTGTCCCCACAGCACCGACCTGGGCGGCCGCTTCTGGGACGGAGGTGGCTGCACGTGCAGTCAGTCGCTCCCACAGCCACAGCCACCAAGAGCCGCGGGCAGAGCCGGAGGCCGGGCGGAGCCCTGCACCTAGTTTGGATCAGCCGGGTCCAGAGACTGGACACAGAGTCCACCCCCATGTCCACACCCAGATAAATCCCACCCTCTTGTACGCACCCCGGGTCCACTCTATTCCACACCCTGAGTTCACATCCCACATCCATACCCTATACCCATCCTGAGTCTACATTTCAGGTCCACCTTCTGAGTCCACAGCCCAGACCACCCCTAAGTCCACACCCACCTCCACATCCCAGACCCACACCCAAGTCTTCCCGCTGCACCCACACCCTGGGTCCCCATCTCGAGTTCATACCGGACAGTGGCTCCCAGCTTCTTCTCACTGGCAGGTCCTAAAACCGACAGACACTTAGGACAGCCCCCTCCCTGACGCGTCTGCTCCAGCCCAGCAGGGGCCACACATACCCAGGACTCTCACGTACCCTTGTCTGTCCCAGCCACAGAGCCGGGGGCCTACAAGGACAGCGCAGGCTCTGCTACCAGGGCTCCGTGTGCCACCCCCACCCGGAGGCGCATGGGGGCTGAGTTCCAGGTCCATCAAAAGGAAGGCTGTCAACACCTTGACATACAACCCCAGCCCTGGCCACCAGGACAGGCTCCCCAAGCATTGCTGCTGGTCCTGCGTGTCCCAGGAGCCCCACCGTACTCTGGAAGGTGGCGGGGAGCCTCCCGTGTGTCGGGTAGGAAGCTGAGGCCAGGTGTCCTGACCGTGTGCATGTCATCACCCCTTCCGCCGGGGCTCCTTCTCCACTAACATCCACTGCGGGTGCAGATCTCAGCTCGGTGGGACGGCAGCCTGGGACTCAAGAGGGAAGAGGTGGGGATGGTAGGTCCCCTGTTCTGCCCCAAATGCCTTGGAGCCGCCCCTCACCTGAAAGAGACACCCCGGGGCTGGGCCGTAGGCAGGGGCCGAGGCTGCAGCCCGGGCTGCCCACCAGGGGCTGACCACAGGCAAGCTGGCCCGCCTCTCATGGGAATGCAGCACCGTCCCCGGACTCACCTCCCAGCCCTCACTGCCTGTGCCTGCACCCCGACAAGGATCGCCTGGCGCGCTAACCAAGGCCTGGCACTAGCTCACTGTCTGTGCTGCGAGCAGAGGGGGCAGCCCTGGCTCCTGCCCAGGGATCTCCAGGGTCCAGGGACCCCATTGCTGAGTGTGAGCTCTGTGCAGTGAGGGCTTGACCACATCACGGTCAGCTCTATTCTTGCTGGGCAGGCCGTTCATGGAAACTGCTCATTTATTTTATTATCCCAAAGTGAAGGCTTCCCAAGTGACCCTTAAGAGATTATTTAGAAAAAGTACCCAAAAACTATGAGAGGAGAACAGCAGCTACAGAAAAGTCCGAAGATTTCCCCGGCACTGGAGCTCAGAGCAGACGCTGCATCCGGAGCCTGTCCCTCCGGCCCGCGCCCGCGGGGTGTGTGACACGCTGTCCTCGCTCACCACGCACAGCAGTCAAGTGCTGACAGAGCGTCAGTGAGAAGAAAATCCCAACATGCACATGCCTGCGGCACGCCTCTGCAGGGATCTGCCAGAGCTACCTGTGCCCAAGCAGCTGGCTCTCATGGTCTGGAGGTCTCCTCCCCAGACGGGAGGTCTCCACACCGGCTGGCTGCTCCAGCTCCCGTGCCTGAAGCCAGGTGGCAGGCCTTCCCTGCCCAGGGGGCATGTGTGCCCTAGGGCCTGCGTGGGAACGGCTCAGCGCAGACCTGGGTGTGCCAAGGAGGGGAAAGGACATCCTCGCAGCACCGGGCCTGAGACCCTGGGGATTCTGGAGGGAAGGTTGGCACTACCTCCTGGAAAGCAGCGCCAGAGCCTGTTTCATGCTTCCGTTACCTCCTGAAGGTCCAGGTACATATGGAGGGCCAGGGACGCTAGCTGGCTAAGAGCTAGGCCCTGGACACAGCCAGGCCTTGCTACTGTGCCCCCGCAATCGCCACTTCTGCACAAGGCAGTCCAGACCCGGGATGGGCCCACACAGAGACTGAGGTCCAGGTGGTTTGGAGAGGCCGAGGGCTAGGCGCCAGGTGAGCACAACTGTGGAGACAGAGGGGACAGGAAGACGATGTGGAGGAAGAGGGGAGGAAGGGGATCAGCGAGAGGGAGGGAGAGAAGGCACTGAGCCCGGGAAGTTAACTCAGTGCAAAGGGGAGAAGACCAGGAGCTGGGAAGGGTGTTGCGGGGCCACAAGAGAGGACGGGAGAGGACAAAAGCCACTGAGATGTCACTGTCAAATAGAACAACTCCAACGCCAAGGGCTCTGCCACCTCAGCAAAGAGACAGGTAACTGCAGCAGCCCCTGGGCTGCAGCCGCCTGTGTACAGGCGCTTCGGCAGCCGCCCTAGGATGTCCTGCCCAGCGCCCCCGGTGGGAGGCCGTGGCCACTCTGGGTGGCAGCAGCTGAGGGCACAGGGCACAGGGCTCACCTAAGACAGCTCCTTGGGCCTCTGCTGACCCTGTCCCCCCTTCCCACTGCTGAGAACCCAGCGCCTAGGGTCCCAGGATCCTAGGAGACCGACTCAAATGAACAGGTGATGTTTCCATCAGCATGGGAACCTACCAGGGCCTGGGGATGGCGCTGCCTGTGTGACAGCTGAGGGAGAGGCTGGGACCGGAACCGAGATGGACCCAGGCTTTGCGCAGTGAAGGAGTGGAGACCT